CTTGTTCCTTCCTTTGGCTGTTGGGCAAACCGTCGCTAGTTAAAGCTGGAATATTTTTCAGTGCAGAAGATTTGACATTTCAACTTCTTGGTTTACTTAGCCCAAACAAGAGCCGGTGATAAGAATGAATCCCGTGCTCCAGCTGGGCCATTGGGTCAATGCTGACCAATGATTGCGTCTTTCAAGCTGGTTGTGCTGGTTCAGTTGTGAAATAACATGAATATAAAGTCCATAAAGTCACCAATCACAAATGAATGAATTTCGTCCAGTATAAACAAAAAAGATCCACTAAATCCTCACGGATAGTTTTTTCACAGGGCTGGCTGTTAAATGTGCTTTCAATGTGTTTTTCATTTGTAAAAAAAAGGATTGGTCTTGTGGGATATAAATACCCGATACCAAACCGTTTGGGACTGGCATTTTTTAAGCAATCAATTTTTCCCATGTGCAAAATATAATAAATAAACACAGTTTACACACCAGAATAGAGAAATGAAGGGAAGTAGGGTCTCAGCCAGCCCATGAAGAGCATGGTATGTACAACATTCAAGGGTTCTCTTGATAGTTTTTTTCGTTCATTTGAAAAAAAAATTCTCTTTGCATTTAACTGCATTTGTTAAATTTAGATTTAAAGCTTTCGTGACTGCAGGGATTCATCTTCTTGGTTCTTTCGGTAAAGTCACGTAGAATGGAAACGTCGTGAGAATTATTTTATTATGTTATATTTTTATTATTTTATTATTTCCATTCTACGTGACTTTACCGAAAGAACCAAAAAGATGCATTTGTTTAATTAATTTTAAATGGCATGACCTGGTTAAACCTGACATTGAATCATGCAGCTGTTGAGGGTGTATTAATATTTTGGCTGTAAATAAAACAAAAACACATTAATGTGAAAGTTCATGTGTGATGTGATCTAGTACACTGGTTGATCCGTGAAATCTGTGTGATAATCGTATGTATACTAATTGATTAGCGCTGGCACAATATCCAGATTACCCTGAGGACACTACCTTTAGTTGTAAATATAAAACATTTTTTGGCATGTATCCCCATGTTAATATAATTAAGTTATGATTATATGGAGCCATCACAAGAGCATGTCGATCTCAACGTATAAAATACAATTGCAATTCGAAAACAAATGGTTACATGAATAGATAATTAACTTTGTCATCACCAACAGCTGAATTTCAGCAGGAAAAAAGCCCACACAGACATCAAGTTTGTATTAATAATGGAGGCCTGGGTGATATTTGTATATAGAGAGTTTGTTTCGATGGCTTACTCAGAAAAGCGTCACTCAAGCCTGTTGATCAGCAGGGTCCTGCCAAGTTTTTGCAGCAAGGGGCGATGTTGCTGTGTGCAATCCCAATTAATTAATTTGCAAGTCGTGTTTCAGCATTGTGGATGTTTGTTAGGTTGCATGTTTAAGTAGCGAAAGTAAAAGTAGCACAATATAATACAGACCAGACACACACACACATCTTAGACAGATAGAGAGAGATTCTATTACGAAACGAATTAAATTATAAGGCCGACACATATTTCCAAGCATATCAAATGTATATCATATCGCATATCAAGTACAGCAGAGAATAATGTGTCCTTTGTTCACTCGGAAATTATGTTTTTGTGCATGGAGATAAAATGTAGTTTAAAGCCCTTTCTTTCCTATTGTATCACAAAAAGTAAGCTGCAATGGAATTTTTTTGGTATAATGCATAAAATACAAAGCAATTTCATGGCATTACACAGATAAGACAGGGTTAAAAACAATGAGTGGGACAAAAAGCACATATCTTAAAATAAAATACGTTTGGTTATTTGACGTGAAAAAAATCAAATATAAGCAATGTTATCTTTAATAAACACGAGCATTGTGGTCAGTAGATATTCCTTTCACTTTGATAAACAAAAAAAAGCAGGCCTGACTGCTGATGAGACTCAGAAAGTTGACACCAGTCGAGAGTTGGTCTCAATGTGTCAGTCATTCCTATATTTTAAAACCATTCTAGGGGAACCCACTGCAACTCCACAGAAGGGCACTCTTTAAAGAGATACCTTAGACAACAGCAGTACAGCAAAACATTTTAAACAAATAAAGCTAAAGAATGCAAAAATGTAATACAATTTAAATGTAACATGCTTAGAATGATGAAATAAAGAGGTGGATTAGAGCAGGTTGAAAAAACTACCTGATAGTGAAAAGCTAAATTACAATGTGCCCAAAGAATGAAGCTTCATAATCAGCAGAGATATGAACCAAAAAACATGGACATTGATAAAGAAGCTGACAAGTATGCAAAGAAACAAGATCTTCATGCGTGGAATTACAATGAGAGACAGAAATAATAACATGGATCAGAGACCCAAACGCATCATATTGACTTAAGAAGAGTAAGTGGGTTTTGGCCGGACACTTCGTTAGAAGAGATGCTGGCCATTGGTCGAAACTAACAATGGAGTGGCAGCCAAAGACGTAAACACACCCGAGAAGAAATCCGCCGTGAAGATGGAGCGATGAGATAAACTCACGTGCAGGAGCGAGAAGGATTGTTGTATCGGGTAACCCACAAGGGATACAGTGACGCATTAGGGAGGCTTTCACCCAGCAGTAGATAGTGGCTGATAATGAAAGGTTAGGTGGGAGTAGCAGCGGTGCAACGGTACGTACACCGTGCTAGGATACCAGCGAACTGAGTTACATTCCTGGCTGCAGTTAACATCAGTGGTGAGTGAGTGATTTCTGGACCGGACTTGGCCCCCTTCACGCAACCGGCTTTAACCAGCATGGTGAAGTATGGTCAAACAAACTCACACGGCCAAATATGGCATGGGGAGGCCATCATCCAGCAGTTGATTGAGAAAGGTCTGACATTTTGTATTCAATTATGACCATAATTCAAGGGTTAAACTAATCTCAGATTGATTGTCCATAGTAAAGTTTTTTTGTGGGTTAGATCGCGTAAATATAAATGTGTCGTAACGAATTGGCATGTTCTGTTTACGTGACAAACCTTACGAATTGATTTGGTCGGGTGGTGGCGGGGTTTAACGATAATTTATATATATACCTGATCTAACTAAAAAAATAATCTGTATTATGGATATTGGCCGCGAAAGCCTATATGTTAAACTGATTGATTATGTTTAGTTAAAGCCGTAATGTTAGCAAGATCACGTTGGATATTATTGAAATATATGAGTGATTGTATTTCAACTTCGTTAGGGGAAGGTTCAAGGCTATGCAGTATATTATTATCAGTTTAGCATTAGAAAGTAGATGTGAAGTGAATTAAATTTGAGCCGTCATTCTAGATTTGAAGCTTTCGTGACTGCAAGGATTCATACTCTTTGGTTTTTTCGGTAAAGTCACGTAGGTAAAACAATCAATAAAATAAAATAAATGAAAACAACTAATTTAAATCACGACGTTTACAGTTATTTTGCGGTGCCTTTTATACACCTGATGAAGGAAGCTTGTGTTGCCTCCGAAACGTCGTGATTAAATTTATTTGTTTTCATTTATTTTATTTTATTGATTGTTTTACCTACGTGACTTTACCGAAAAAAAAACAAAGAGTATGAGCCATCATTGTTTATATATAATGAACACGATGGAGAACCGTCAATTTATCCAGATTTTCTATCAAGTTTTCTGCCATGCAGATAATCAATTTCAGAACCAGACCAATACCGTGCATTTATTCACTATTTTTAAAGAATGATCTACAGTACTTAGAAACAGTGAGGATACCTCTGAAATTGGTTATGATACCGAAATAATTGTGGAAGCTGATACTATCAGATATTTTTCATATTAACAAAACTTGGCGATGTAATATCCCATAGCAATTATTATGGCACGAAGGTTTTTTTTAGTGAAAGGAAACTCTGGGATGAAAAACAAGCTTGCTTACCATTGGGCAAGAAATATCTTTTTTACATAATATTCAATTACGTGTAACACTGCGATAATTGTATGAACTATGAATGCTTCCATATGGTGTATTAGGTTACTCTTACAATGCGCTTGTGAAAAATGTGCTCTGTCTTTTTCTCTGTAAAAAATAGAATTTAAAAAATTTCTGCAATTTTTTCCGACTTCTGTCAGAGAAAAAGATTTCGCAGGGACATATTTAATCCTTAAAAATGGCAAGCATTTATTGGCAGACACTGCTTCCTTGGCACAAGGGTTCCATTGTCATTGAAAAATAAATATTAAAAAAAGCCTCTTGCTCACTTTAATAAATTGATCGTACAACCTCAATTAGTATTCCCATTCTCCAGGATTCACCTATAAATAAAACAAATCTATATTTGTCTTCATAAATATCTCTTTGTAATATGGCACATGGAATAATCGGACATGGTGGAATGTGTGAGAATAATGGGAACAGTGAGTGATTTGGTATTTATCACATTTAGAATTTAACTTCCAGCTCAGCACGCAGGTTTTTCCGAACGCCTTGTAATCCGAGTGTGTTCTTCACATGAGTCCTGGGGGCTGACAGGATAACCAGGATGCAGACGATAACATATAAGTGTAGAACAGGTGGGATTCCTCACTTCAACTCACAAAGAGTTCGCAGCCGAACCCGAAATATCAAACTTATATTAACTTCCAGATGTAAATTGTATTTGTTTTCAGTGTTTAATTTCCATAAGCTCGTGCGGATATGAATATCAATTAAAGTATACATTTAAAAATTTTAAGCTTTTGGGGTTGTCAAATAATTTCACTGGTCCTCTTCATTATGCTGTAAATGTGCACATTCCAATTCCCCCTTCGAGACAAGTGAAAACATGAGACCAAGATAATCTGCCCTTGAGGTTGCTTATTTTAGCAGCACTGGAATTACCCGTGCACCACTTAACAGTTGGAACAGCAAGACACGTGTTTCAAGTGAAGAAAAAAACAAGAATTTCTACTTCTTTAGTTTTTTAGAACCAGGCATACTCAACACCATGGCTTCTTTACATGTAGGCGGTACATGTACTGCAGTGCACTTCAACTGGCTGCCAGTCACAGGTGACTGAATTACTGTATATTAACAATATTGATCAGAGAGTTCTGTGCGAAGACATAGGCAAGCGGTGGTATATAACATCCACAGTTCTTAAAAAAAAAGACACTAGATCTGAGCTGAATGCCACACATACAAATTTGCGTGTCCTGCACACTTTCATAGGAATGGTGGAGAATAATGATGGAGTGGCAGTCAAAGGATGGAACTTGCCCGAGGAAATGTCTGCCTTGGCGGTGGAGCAAAGAAATCATCTCAGGTGCAGGCACTATGTGGATTTTTACATCGCAGAATCGTTAGGAATTACAACGGCTTCGTAAGACATTCACCCATCAGTGGATTAATCCTGGCTGCTAATGATGACGCCATGTCAAGTTGTACGATTGATTCACTGGACGTAACTAGTACAGGACACGAGAATGGGGTGTAATGCCAGTGTAAGAATCAAACAGCAAACGAGGTATTAAATACTGCAAGGTATGTGTGTAGTAATAATAATAAATGGCAACTTAACGATAGGGATAGGCGTGGAAAAGAATGTGTGCGCACCTTGAGGCATCCACAGACGGGCGAAAAGACAAGCTGCCGTGAGCTGGCTGGACACTGGAGGTATGTACCAGCACACTCAATGTATTTGTAACAGTAATCTAAACTAAAAGAAGAGCGAAAACAAATTATGTTATGCTGCTGCTGCTGCACTCTTACAGCTTGTCATATTAAAAATCGTGTTTTGATAGGGAACTTAGTGTGCATGTCTAAGTGCCATGACGCAATGCTAGAAGGGCACTGATGACCACAGCAGGTTGTGTTTACAAGTGCTGGTGTTGTTTTCACTTTGGCTCCGCCGAGATTGCTGAAGCGCGATAAATGTCTATGGTTTTAAATAGCACACTTTGTCTTTGACTTATTGATCTGGGGAACAGACTAGAATTCAATAATTTATTTTTGTTGACAACAGTCTCTCCTGCAAATGGAAGGCGCGATAAATCGCACGGCTCTATCTCGCTACTATTCTTGTACAGCGTTATCACTCGCGTCTTATCAAAGCACCGGAACTTTGTGAGTTCGAGGGGAATGCGTAAATCGGCTCAAAAGCAAAGGGGCATAAATAATGAGCAACGCATAGTGGCAACACAGATACAGTAAGCATGAACACAAACTCAACACTGTAGGTCCAATGAAGACACACACCTGAGGCTAAAAAGTAAAAACGAAGGGAGGTTCCCACACCCAGCACGCATATCGCCAGGCTCTTTCCACTATCTGCCACTGAGGTTTTGCCGGTCATCTTAAAGCTGCTCTGATTAGGTGAACAATTTCTTATGAAAGTCTCGAAGCCTTTGCCCGACCCGTTATCTTAAAGTTCCACTTATCAGTGGCCAGCTCCTTGAGAAAGTGTTTGAGATAGCATAATTACGAGTTGTCTAATGGTATGAATGAGCAAATAGTGACTACGGCTATTGCTGCTGCTACTGCAGAGACTAAATACATTTCGCGAATCTGTTTGACCTTTTTTCTCCGTTCTCCAGAGTGTGAAGACCATCAACGACGCAATGTATGTGTGTTGAACTTCTTTCGCACCGTACGTAGCCAACCGTGCTAATCGGAGCTGCGGGAGAAGGACAACAGAAATGCCAACCCTTTTGGTAATGATGATCCTGTTGGTTTTACAGGGTAAGAACAATTTTTTTAGACGCTCGTTTTAATATAAATATGTTCATGTATTATTGGATAATGGCTACTTTAAATACATTAGCCAACATGTCATTCTTCTGTCCTTGTGGCGTTTCAGTTTACTATGCTGTCATGTATAGTTTATGAAATAAGTTAGATATATTGTCTATATTGCTCATCACTTGTACCAGGAATTAAAGTACGTTATGACATGTGCTGTTTGAACATGGAAACGCCAACTGAAATATGTTTGAATCCCTATAAAATACCAAATACCGAGGCTGAAAATGTGTGTGTTGGTATTGAAAATGAAAAAAAAATGATGCTGTTCACTTTGAACTAACATTGTCACAGTATAATATATTATGTTCGCAATGCTTTCCTGGAAATGTGATTTTATATTTATATGTAGATGGATTAATATTAGCCTGAAAAGTATGCCTTGCGATACACATAACCTACACGGGTCTCCCTGATCTTTTCTCAGTGTCTCCAGCCATCTCCATGCAGGTGCTGGTTGCAGACCGAGAGACCATAATACAAATCGACATGTCTGGAAAGTGTAGGTCAACGGCTCTTAATGAAGACATATTACACGTAGCCTAATGCACCACAGCTCTCTCTTCCTATCTCTGGCAAAAAAGCAATTAAAACAGATTATTACGGACGTTAATTAAAGAAACTATATATCTGTGTGGACGATTTTATTTTAATTACACGAGTGTGCTGCTGGCATGGCCATTAGCTTTTAAAGAAGTGAAATAAAGATAATGTTGTGAAGCTAACGCACTATTCCATCGACATTGCTAAACTAAATGATGCTCAAGCGGATACAGTGAAGCCATTGCTTCTCAATGTTGTCATTGCCTCTGTCTCCCAGTGGTGCAATGCTCTGCCGCTGTGGACATCCTGCTGCTAATGGACGGTTCATACAGTATTGGAAAAGTCAGCTTTGAACGCTCGAAGCACTTCGCCTCCAACCTCTGCAATATGCTTGACATCAATCCGGATCGGGTGAGATCATGTGTACTCTGCATGATGGGCGCTTTCCCACAGGGCAAACCGGGTGGATGATTTAATGAACTGAGCAAACACCTCTCAGCCAGGTGCAATCTTGCGGCGCCTGGGTATCCCGCATTGAAAGGAATGCTGGGCACGGGGGGTTGATTGTTTGGAGGTCATGTCAATCACTGCCTGTGGTGCCCGACGAGCCAACGTCCAAATGGTCAGTCGGCAGCCTCAAAGCCATGACATAATTACTCTTCATTACTTCACTATTATCTCTTGAAGTTTCATGGACAAATAAACTGCCGTTTGTGATTTATTTTCTGCTTTCAAGTCGGGGCAAAATATGGTTTATGGTAAGAGTTGAATTTGGGGTAAATTGTGCATCGCGCAGCGTTTTTTGTCTTTAAGATGACAATTGAATGTGTCACTCACTACAGGTGCAACTTGGCATCGTTCAGTACAGCTCCAAGCCCAGGCTGGAGTTTGCTCTGGATGTGTATCCTACGAGAGAGGAAGCAAAGGAAGCTATAGCAAGAATAGCATTCCGGTGAGTTTCGTGTTGTTCATACTTCGGAATTCTATCATTATCTCGTTTAGTAATTTGTTCATATGCCACAATATTCTGTTTATGTACGTTATTAATATAAATTACGGTTTAGTATAAATAATCAGAATGAAATCGTGGAACGAGTACACGCGCAGTGAGCAGTGGAATCGTGGTTAGCGCACCGTGCTATGGAACACAGCAACCTGAGTTGGGTTGCCTGGCACGATTAATGTCAGTGATGATTGTCTGAACTGGGCCTGGGCCTCCCTAAGGTCGACTCAGCTATAAAATTAGTACTTGGTGTGGTTTGAATACATACGCACTGAGAAGACAAAGGCAGCTGGGCAAAGTTATGGCCATACCATCCAAGTATGTGCTACAACGGCCTTAATATGCGCTCGCTAACGGCACTGAATCTGACAGCCTGTGTAAGATACAAAGGGGATCTTTGTGAGTGTGCGTTAGTGTGCAAGTTTGCGTGTATGATAATGTGAGCGACATCTGAATCAGTCCTGGGAACCACCTTCACCAATCAGTACTGACCAACATATATGAATGTATGTATGTTGTTATACTTCTATTGCACCGTACATAGCTAACCGTGCTTATTGGAGGTGCCGGACAGGACAACAAAGGCATGTTGAAACATGATCAAGCAACCCGCATGTCCGACACGTTGGGACTTCAGCGAGCAGTGGATTCACAAAGAACTATGAGATGAATTCTAGATTTAAGGTTTTCGTGACTGCAAGAATTCATACTCTTTGGTTTTTTCGGTAAAGTCACGTAGGTAAAAAATCAAGTGATACAGTAAATTTGCTGTGACGGTTCCACCTGAAGACGGAAGCTTCTGTTGCCTCCGAAACGTCGTGATATAATTTATTTTAATTTTTTACCTACGTGACTTTACCGAAAAAAGCAATAACTATGAAATGATGCTGATGGTTATTATTAGAATTATGTTGTATGCCTTACACGTGTATATCACGTGGCTTGTGCACTGCCAGTGGGGGTGGTACAGAGACGGGGCGAAGCATCAAGTACGTGCTGCGTAAGGGCTTCCCGGGCGGTCGAGAGGGCATCCCCAAGATCCTGGTCCTGCTCACGGACGGCAAGTCTCAGGACAACGCGACGTTGGCTGCAAAGCACGCGCGCAACAGCGGCCTGACCGTGTTCGCCGTCGGGATCCGCCACCCTGCGTGCGTCCTGCCAGAACACCTCGTTGACCTTCTATGAACGGGCATTCATAATTTGGAGATGCATATTTAATGTAGTAGTAGTATTGCTCTTTGGTTCTTTCGGTAAAGTCACGTAGAAAGAAAATAAATTCAATAATAGAATACGACGTTTCGATTGCAAAACAAGCAATCGTCATCAGTTCTAGATTTTAAGCTTTCGTGACTGCAAGGATTCATATTCTTCTGTTTTTTCGGTAAAGTCACGTAGGTAAAAAATTGAAATTAATAAAAGTAAAATATTTTTATTTACTTTTATAATTTTTATTTTTTTTAATTAATAAAAGTAAAATATTTTTATTTTACTTTTATTAATTGTATTTTTTTTACCTACGTGACTTTACCGAAAAAACCTAAGAATATGAATGGTCATCAAGTAGTAAACAAACCTAGTGAACTTTGAGGAACAATGCAATACAACACAGAGAGTCGGCTAACACAACAGTCAGCGCCTTACCTGGTGGTTACGTTCTTCCAAAGATTGCTAAATTTGAGAGAGAGACAAAAACAGACACGGAGATACACAGACAGACACACAAGCAGAGAGAGACGACACAGAGACACACAGAGAGAGACACACAACAGGGACACAGAGAGAGACACAACAAAGACACACAGAGACCCAACGCCTCTGTGCCAAGGCCTTAAATAGAAAGATGGGGGGGGGGGGGGCAGAGAGAGAGGTGGGTCTGCTGGACAGAGAAATTAGCATGTCAATGAGAGAGCTGTGTTTTAGTAGTAGTATATCAACCCGGCTAAGCAGAGCAGAGCTGAGTCTGGATAGTACTGGAATGGGTGACCTTCGTGCACAACACAGGCTATTGTAGGGGCTCCAGGGCTATGTGGTGGGCAGTAGATGGCAATGCGATAATATCTATTGTTGTACCTTACCGCTATGCTCCTGAGCCTATACTCCCCGCCTATATCAACCTGCCACTGACTAATCTTAACTTTGGAGCTTTCGTGACTGCAGGAATTATTCTTTGGTTCTTTCGGTAAAGTCACGTATAAAGAAAAAATAATCAATTAAATAATAGCATACGACGTTTCGATTGCAACACAAGCAATCATCATCAGGTATAATGAAATAGCGACATAAAATCTAACCAGAAAAAATTATAGACAGACATATAAGCAGACAGATATCACCAAGATACACACAGCGGGCAACACAGGTACCGACTTTACCGAAATAACCAAAGAATACTGCCACTGACTCAAATATATGCCATGACTCGCAAGGCGTGGTGAGGCCATCATACAGCACTGGATTGATTAATGGGCTGTACGAGTTCATGTTTAATGTTGTATTAAAGCTCATTCTGCACTGTAGTGAAAATTCTAGGGTAAGGCATAATGCGTCGCAACCAGCAGTACTTGTTCCCAAAATTCTAACGCTGCCGATGAGACCCAGAAAAATCGAAATCGACCCAGAGTCTGTGTCCATTAGACAAACGCTGAAGATTATAACATAACCATCAGCATTTGCCCAATGGGCTGATAGACCAATACATCTGTGGAGAGACCTCACTCGGGTTCGTTTATTTTATTTATCATCCCAGTTTGATGGTTTTCATTGCATTGCCGTCGACCGTGACACTTTGATTGAGAATGTGTTAAAACGTATGGTGGGGTAGTGGCATTAAAAATGAGCGATATTTGAGATACGTGAAGAACGTTTGAAGTGCTTGCATGGTGATGAAGATTTTTTTTTATTCTGCACACGGCCGTTGTCCCATGCTGTAGGTGGGAAGAATTAAATAGAATGGCGAGTGACCCCGATGACATGCACGTGTTCTACGCGGAGCATTACAACGACGCACTCAATGGCCTTTACACAACGCTCACACAGGCCACCGTGTGCTCGGATGTGCACCCGTGTAAGTACCTTACGCACGCTTTTATTGACTCCAATGGAAATGCGATGAGATGGGTTTCAGTGGCGTATCCAGTAAAGGTTGTTGGAGGGGAGGGGGGGAGGGAATAATGTCTCCTGTTAATTTTATACGTAGGCTTTCACGACCACTATTATGACTCACTAGCCTTTTGCCCGTCCAAGGACGACGGGTGTATTTCAGTAAATCTGAAACTTGCAAGCGAAAAGCAGACCGCGACGTGATATTCATTGCATCAATTCGTGTGCAATTTGTAAGGCCGCGGTGACACTGACTTCTTTCATTTAAAGGTTATAATCCATTGTTCATCATGACGTCCTTTTTACTTCGGTGTCTCAACAGCGTTACGGAGATCACGTGACGTGAGGGTTCTGCCTTCGTAGTGAGGGTTGTAAGTTGACGCCGAGGAGGGGGGAGGAGGCGCCTCGCCCCCCCCCCCATGTGGAGTGACGTCAACATCTAATTAATCAATGATAGAGCGGTGTCCATTTGGAAAACGTCACCTCTTCATGATTATCAATATAGGGAGCTGTTCGATGTGGAGTGACGTCACCTGCACATGATTATTAATGAGGGGGGGGGGTGCTGCATGTGGAGTGACGTCACCCGCTCATGATTATTAATGAGGGGGGGTCCATGTGGAGAACGTCACCTGTTCATGATTATTAATGAGGGGAGCTGGCCGATGTGGAGTGACGTCATGCGCGGGACACACAGACATTCTTGGCTCATTATAGTAGTAAATAATTCGGTTATTTTTGGGTTAGATTGTCGCATTCGGCACGATGTCAATTCTGAACTCTTAACCGTTCACCGCTTGACAGAGCCGATCAAATTAAGTTTTTGCGTCATGTGCAAATATGCAAATATATTATTTTGTTTATCAGGGAAAGCGGAATGTTAAAAAGTAAGCACGTTCTTTGTTACAATGTTTTACCTAGCATTGTGGTTTTGCTGATAAACCCCTTCTACCGCTCCCTGGGTGAATCTCTGAAATATATCTTTATAGTGCTTGTGTTGCTCTGTGTTGTGAGTACAGACAGTGTTGTTATGAAAGTTTTTGTGCAAAGAGCTCTACCAACTTAAAAGGTCTCCTGCTTTGGGGGAGTAATAGACAGTTGGTAGATAAATGCGAGATAAAAAATAAAATCAGGACATTTGTGCGTTGCGATCCTCCAGTCTGTTTTAGGCCATTGCTTTAAGTGTTCACATTATTGGATTTCTTTTTCTTTTTACAAAGCAGAGAATAATCGGCTTTTTCACAAATGGAAAGTACGCGCGTAATGTTGTTACACCGTATTGGATTACTTTTTATATTGTGTTTTTTGCTTAGTGGCAGAAGATGAGGACTATTTGTATTCGATAATGTAATAATATAGGTACTTTAAATCTATAATTATAATCACTTGGGCCATTATTTGTTATTTCTGCGGCTTAATAATGGTATAGCATTAACACCTTTTTCTCATTACTGTATATAGCAAGTGCATTGCTAATTTTGTTTCACACCTTCTAATTCTGAATATGCACACCTTCCATATGCTTATTACCTGTGAACAGACACATCGCACTTTAATAATGCGGCGAATTTGTGCACGTAGTTTTAAGTGTGACTGAGGTGCTAGCACTGTTGAATTCTTGAGTTCGATTCCATGTGCCATCTATAATTAAACTGGTTTCATAAGTGTATTTAGTGAGTTAATTGTGTCAGCCCAGTCACCAATGCACAAATATCACGCCACATTAAACTTGATTACACTCAAGAGAAATAAAAAATATCGCTTCCATCACCGTGCAATGAGCGATGTGCTGCTCCCTGCTGTGTAGACCAGAGCTCGATTGGGTGGGTCGTTTTCTAGCATGAAGGGCTGCACTGCTCTGCCAGATCTGGAAGGATTTTTCATCTCATTGCATGACACAGTGCACAATCAGGTTCAAATTGGGAAAGAGGGCAAAAAATGTTAACAAAAATTTGTTATAAAAACTGGACGTAGAAAATTGGAGAACACGAACCCTAACAGCTATATTTGGTCTCCTGTACGACATAATTGAATCGCAGATCTGAAAAATCGAATACTTTTATCCATCATTCATCCATTATAGGTAACGCTTTAAATTACGACTGCAACATTTTTGTGTGGGGGAGGCTAGAAAGTTATAGACGGAGGCGGTTGATGCATTACTATATTCCACATTTAATAATAATAAATGTTATATAATGAAATGTTTCAAATGAATCGCTTGGATGTGCGCGAGCCCCTGGCGGGTGCTTGTGCCTCGCTGTCAGCCTGCAAGGTGGAGTCACGCATTTGTCTGCGCACGAGCGTGGAGTCCGTGCAGGAATATCGCGGCAGTCACGCCTGCTGGAAGGGCAAAAGAGGACAACTCTCCGGGAAGCCGTATGCGACTTTCTGTCCATACTACGCGTAAGCACGTACATGCCATATACTGAGGAAACGTGTATTTGTGCACTGTTATAAGGCTATATTCTCCAAGAAGTCTGGCCAGCGTAGAAGAGTAGGCCAAATACCACTCTAGAGAGGTATCTCTAGAGCTTTTTGTAGCAGAGACCCGCCAGCAGTGGCGTGAACAAGGAATTTCAGGACTGCACCTTTACCTGTCATACTTGTACTGATGATCAAATAACTTGGAAAGTGCCCAATCCTGTCACATCATGGAAGCAATGCAGGGGTGATCATGGATAATGTATGAAATATGGGACAGTCATGCATCAAAAAAAGTATTATAGGCTGCTATGGGGCTACATTGTGGGAAGCAGAGGTCAGTGCAACTATGCTTCAATGTCTACACTGACCAGCGTAGTGAAGTCTGCTTAAATAACCCCCATTACTTTCACGACATAGAATAGCCCTCATCCAGCAGTGGATTGACAACATGTACACGTATTACTCTACTATCGATTTATTGAAAGATGTTTGTTATTGTGCAGTACAACTCAATTACCCAAAGTAGGAACGAAGATGAGCAATTCGGAAAAAATCTGCATTAAATATTTCCCCTTTCTAAAAATGCTGCCCTAAGTTTTTGCGGATCACGTGACCTCGTCTGGAGATCGGACACAGGGATTTAACGGGTTTGATTGGTTGGTTGTGATCGCTCTCTCAAGACAAATATTGGCAGATGGCTAAACTTACAATATTTTAAAAAATCATCAATATCATCAACGTCATCATATTTTTTGTTTATTGATTGATAGACGTCTCCATCGTCATCATCATCGTCGTCGTCATACTACCAGCAGTGCTTTGAAAGATGTTTCTCCGTCATTCTGATTTTAACTTGACGACCAAAGGTAGTGCAAGGACGAGCCCGTGTACATGGCCGCAGTAGCAACGCGGCGCCAAAGGCAGAACCAGAGCTATTATATATCACAGGGACGACATCAACATTCATTTTTTCTACTTTGGTTGTCTCTTCACAATGAAGGATGTCGACACGCAGGGGCACACATGCATTTTTGATGGGTACGATAACGTAGTTATTTAGCACAAAAATCAATGGAGGTGTTTTCATGTTGTCAAAATGTGTTTTTATTCTTTTTTGATTATTTTATTTCTTATATAACACGTGAAACCTTCGGTGTTGCACGGAAAAAGCCAGCGATCGTTTAACCTTGAGGCCATACGGCAATAAGTGTGCATTAGGGGACTATTTTTTTCCATCACGGGAGCAAATTTAACTCAGGACGCCCGCGGCTAATTCCATTAATCAAAATGAGGTCACTCTCACCTACTCCGGTGTAGTTATTTTTTCGCAGGAAAAATAAAGTTAAACAACGCAACACATCAACAAAGAATTAGCTTAAAGCTGATTTTATAAATCAAAGTTGTTTTACAACTGCGTGGGTATTTTCGGTTTTGCTATATGACTCTGGTATGTTTTCGTTGATGTCTGACATTTTGCTCTACATCCTGGGAGCATCTTCATCACGTAACATCTGGGATGAAACTGACAGCTCCTGAAAAACCTCCCAGCACGTGGAGCGAAACGTCGGACATCATGCCTATATATTTGTCCTGGCATACGCTGGAATAAAAGAATTTACATTATTGTCTAATTGGCCGAACGGATTTATTTATTTAGATGAATTTTCTCTGAGAATATTTTTTTCTTATGTGCATTTTTTTCTCGTTATGGATTTTTTTTTACTAAGCAGTGGGGTTTTGTTTTTGCAATATCTGTGTACGGAACTAAAAAATGTATGTGCAGCGTTGTGCAATGTAATTTCTTGAATGACGCTATATAAAATATAATTATTATATACCGAACAATACGCGGTACAACCCTAAAAATCTACCGGAGGCCCAAAGTTCTCTGTAATTGTGCGTGTTTATGGTACACGCAATAAGAAAAACGTTTCACTGTGTACAGGTGGAAGAGAATACGTAACGTCCATCAGAGTCGGTGCTACCGTACTCTGTGCCCAGGTGAGTACGACCTGTAACATCGTTATGTTGTTCACGATGTACCAATTCATTTGTATGGAAAGCAAAATTGTTTCCTTTTTATCCTTGCTTTTTATTGTACTTATTTTAGCACCTATAATGTCCCAGGTGGAGCGGTGCTGGAGTGGTTAACGCACTGAGTTTGATTGCCGGCCACATCTAACATCGATGACGAGTGATATGTCAACCAGTCATGGGCCCTCCCCTCCCCTCTCCCATACGCAAGTGACCAGTGGAAGTTTAATCAAACAACCCCACGACTGACAATCGTTTGGGCAGGCCCTCATTCCAAAAGTAGATTTACAAAGGGCTGCAAATTAGTTGTTGCATATGATCATCCAGGGTTTCATTTCTGACTGAAAATGTTCTGGGTTGCCAGTAGACTGCAGTAGGCCATAGTGAGCGGTATACTTGATGCGGTGTTCTGGGTCGCTGACCCGTACCGACCCAGCTGAAATTAGGCCCTCTTAATGGTTCAGCATTTGAGAGATGTCAATGGGTAACCAAACACAACGTTTGAGGAATGGTCTCAGAAAATGTACTCTTCACAACTGGTTTAGAAGACAAATAGAAGTCACTTCAAAAGACCTCTCTAACCGAATGCTGTACGTTGCGCGCGTCCATGATATGTGAAAAGAGATTTTTGTCGCGTATCACTTATACAATACATTGTAAATGTTAACACTAGGAGCTAAGCCTGACTGAATTAAGTGAAAAAGCTATGTTTTATGAGATGATGTTCCTGTGAGGGCATAAGTAATTGCGGTTTAAACCCTGCACCCAAAATTGCACTGGTTCAGTGCTCCAATACAAAGAGGATGACTCCCTGAGCCATTAGGGCAGTTCATGTTTTTTCCATTTTTGGATGCAGTTTTGTAGTGTACTTGTTTTTTTATTTGTCATCGCTTGCTCCGTAGACCCGTGTGACCCCAATCCATGTCAGAATGGGGGCACGTGTGTGGCTGAAGGAGTTGAGGCGTACAGCTGCCTCTGCCCCCTTGGGTTCGGAAGCCACAGGGACTGCGGTGAGTGCAATGCAAGTACGCATTTAAGCTTTTAGTAGCCGGCAGTGTGTATACGAATGGTGTTTTACTTTTTTTGATGTGTTGCGCATTAAATTGCACCAAAGCACTGCACAGCGTCATAGCACACGGCAGATATTACGTGTCACGTGTGTAATCGTCCCTGTGGGTGCTTTTGCAAGAAGGTGGTGCTGTTTTATTTCTTCCATAAAGCCAACCATTATCATGTTATGTTCTCATTTCAAGGTGGGACCCAGTTTTTAGGTAAGTCGTCCACTATTAAATATATGCATTGCATTGCACGTCATTAAAAACAACAGTGGAATGCGAGTCTTTTTTTATTAAGCCACTTGTAAATAACATTGCTAGGCTTCAGCACAAAGCCATGGGCTCTGTGGTTACAACTTTGGGCCAGATACAAATTTTGACAAATGTTCATGAGATTTCTGGCGAAACTGTATTGATGTCTCCATTGCCAACAATGGGTAGAGTTGTTGAGGTATTGTGTTTCAGCTTTTTCAACGAAATGTTAATGTAGCCCTGTGTTTCCACTGGCTGTTGGAGAGAATTATTGTAGCATATGGAACAGTCTGATGTTTATTTATACTTACCATGGGGAATTTAGAGAATAAATGATTACTTCTGACACCAAAATATTCCTATTAACAAGAAATTAGCTTATTTGTCTGTCGGTCCGAGGGTTGCTACCTCTGAGGTACAAAAGTCTGGGCATATCATGGGAAGAACAATATGTCACAACACCAGAATAGTTATGTCTTGTGCAGTGCATTATTATGTAATTTCCAAAAAATGCCCCACGAGGACTTACAAGTTTCCAAGGATAGCCACCTCAAAAAGAGGACATTCCTGAGAAAGCTCGGACAGTGGCAACCATTGTTGGTCCTGAATAATTTTTTTGGAATAATTGCCAGACGGCATTTCGAGCAAGTGACATGTATTAATTCATGGATATCGATGAAGTTATTAGTCTTCTCTCTGCTCATTCGGCTGCCATTCCCGGCGGACGTGCGCCCGACCGCCCAGTGCCAAGCGTGGCTGTGGGCTGTGCCGTGGACCTGCTCTTCCTAGTGGATGGCTCGTGGAGTATGGGCCTCGAGGGCTTCCTTCGTGCCAAGGCCTTTGTGAAGCGGGTCATCCACAGCCTTCTGCAGACCTCCCCGAGCATTCTTATCGGCTTCATGCAGTACTCCGACACAGGTGCACGTGGAGTTCACCTTGGGTCAGCATGCCGGCTACACGAGCCTCGTCCGCAGCATCGACGCCGTCAAGTACCGTGGCGGCAACACCAACACAGGCGGCGCTTTGGCCCACGTGGCCCAGCTGGAGTTCAGGGCGGAGACCGGCTCCAGGCAGGAGGTCCCGCACGCCGTGGTGGTGCTCACCAACTCCAGGTCGCGCGACGCGGTCGCTCTGCCGGCCCAGTTCGCCCGAGAGAGGGAGATTTTCCTCCTCGCTGTGGGGAGCGAGCAGGTCCGCGCGGAGCTACAGAGCATTGCGACGCCGCTGAATGCGCTGCCTTTCAGCGACCCGCTGGACTTGTACAACAAGGTGATGGAGCTGAGGAGCCGGATCTGCAGTCTCAATTCACAAGGTGCTGAAAGTCTGATGATGATTAACGGTCCCGGAGAAATGTTTGTGAGTAGACAATTTAAAGTCAAAGTAGACATATTTTATGTACATATTGTGTGTATGTGTGTTATTTGGCATTTCGTTTAGCTGTCATGTATGATAAATGTGCAACGTAAGTGCGTGCTCTTTGTGAGACTGTCAGTGCACAAAAGCGTACACGTTATCTGTAATTTAATTCCAGTTGCATGTATGTTTTAGATGAAGATTTGTATAATTACTTATTGAGATATCTTTAACAATGAATGTTAAAACAAAAGCTTGTTATTGCATTGTTTTGGTGTCTTTCACAACACGAAACATCATCAGATAAACATTTGTCTACAGGATGTTATTCCAGACCTTTGGACGTCATCTTTGTCCTCGACTCGTCTGCAAGCATGGGCCGGCAAAATTTCCAGCAGCGTCAAGGAGTTTGTGAAGGACTCCGTGTCGCAATTCGACATCGACCGTGACCTCGCTCAGGTGGCGGCGGTGATTTACAGCACCAAACCGCGCGCGCTCTTCCACCTGGACACATATGACAGCGAGAGCCGGATGAAGCGAGCGCTGTCCACCGCGCCGTTCCTTGGCGGCCTCGCGCTCATCGGGAGAGCACTCGGCTTCGTGGCCGATGAGCTCCTCACGGTGCACAGGGGAGCTCGTCCCGGCGTGCGGAAGGTCGTCGTGGTGGTGACGGACGGGCTGAGTGCGGACGACGTCGTGGGGCCCGTCACGACGCTGCTGAGCAACGGGGTGTCCGTAATCCTCGTCAGCGTGGGGGATGCCAATCGCAGGCTCTGGATCACTGCGCAGCCCAGCGATGTTATTTCGATCCCTTCCTACAACACGCTAAAGCACTACATGGACAATGTCATCTGGAGGATCTGTGAAGGTATCCCGTTTTTTTAACAAGATGCACATTATAAAAAATATATGTTTACTTTTTTAGGTATATTTCATCATGAATGTATGTCATATTTAATGACATTCATATAAAATAATTTATTTCTTAGTTTTCTGGTGTATCTGGTAAACTGTGTAAAAGTTAAGTGTAAAAGCATTGATAATAGGGTTTTCCCCTTTTTTCTGGCAACAAAATAGGTGTTAAGATGTTAAAACACCAAACTGAAACTTTTTTCAAGGAATCACGTCTGCATTTACCACAATGCTTGTGGTCAAAATGCAAAAAAAACACACTGATCATATATGCATTGTCCTTGAAACTCATTGGTCCACACCAGAGACAGCTTTCATTTAAATGTCCATTTGACAAGGTGGTCAGATGGTTCAGAGGTCATATCGCTGAGCTGGCACTGCTGAGAAGCAGAGTTTGAATACTGTCAGTCACTTGTGATTAAACCACATGCTGATATACATCGGATAACATTTTGCTTTGCATATTCTTTGGGTCTTTCGGTAAAGTCACGTAGAACAAAAAAATGTAAAAACATTTTTTACTAAAAAACTACGTTTCCATGACGATTGCTTGTGTTGTGATCGAAACGTTGTAGTTTTTTGTAAAAAAATTAGTACATTTTTTTGTTCTACGTGACTTTACCGAAAGACCCAAAGAATATGAATTCCTGCGGTCATGAAAGCTTCAAGTCAAGATTTTGCTTTGCACTTAATTTGACAAAACTGTAGCCTGAGAACTCTAAATGTTAGTGTTACGGTTATGTGGCATAGTGAGAAAGTGCTGCCCCCTACTCTGTAGGTCAGAGGTCGCTTTAAAGGGTCTCAGTGGTATCTCTGTGGTATCTGCTCACATGGGCTGTTCTCTAACACCAATGGTTTCATTTTCCCTGAATAAATTCCAGCTCGTTCATATACTGGACTATGCACGCGACTAGTAACGACAGCCATTGTGGACGTGGTGTGCTGGGTGAGAAAGTATTTTTAAGGTCACTCACCTGGACAGTCCCAGCTGAAATTATATCCTCATTCCACTCCTCTTGGAATATTCATCCCGCGACATGACACCAATGACACCCTTGTGATAAAACTGGAGAAAGACGGCAATGAAAATGATTATACAATGACAATTCAATTTTGACTTAAAGCTTTCGTGACTGCAGGAAGTCATATTCTTTGGGTCTTTCGAGAAAGTCACGTTGATAGGTTCAAATAAAATAACCAAAAATATAAAAAAAAAACTACAACGTTTCGATCGCAACACAAGCGTTCGTCTTCCTGATGACGAACGCTTGTGTTGCGATCAAGACGTCGTAGTTTTTTGTTATTTTCTTTGAACCTATCGACGAGACTTTTACCGAAAGACCCAAAGAATACGACAGATCAAGTTTCACTCGGGGCTTTCTTTCGATAATTTTGCAAACACATTTTCCACGCAGAATCCAAGCAGCCGACCAGCCCCTGCTTGCCAAACCCCTGCACAAATGGAGGAATGTGCTCACTGCTCACCGGCAGCTACCACTGCCAATGTGTGGGTTGGGATGGGCCTCACTGTGAACACCGTGAGTAAGCTCGCAACTTACACGCTATGCTCGTGTAGGGGTGTCACGGGAAGGATTCCCACCAATAGGAGGGTTAGTGGGAGGGGTGATCGAGGAGATATAAGGAGAGAACGGGCGGGAAGAGGGGGCCTTTTGGCGGGAACGATATTGGGACGGCTGGGGACAGGTGTGGATAGAAGAAAAGGATTAAAGGACGAGAGCCCTGCAATCTTGTGTCGGCTCTCCTTTACGCTCGTACTCATATTGTCAATGCTGTGTATTTACTCTCTCCCAACACACCGGTGTGCTGTACTAGTAACGCATTGGCATGTTCCGTTTACGTGACAAGCCTTACTCATTGGCTGTGTCGGGTGGTGCCGAGTTTAACGACACATTTATATTTACGCGATCTAAGACACAAAACAAACCTGTATTATGGACGGTATGCTTTTTTAAATATGTATGTACTTGTACAGGCCTTTTGTCAATCCCCTACTAGATGAGGGTTTCTCCACCACACCTGTGCAGGTGGCTGTGGTTATTTGACTATACCATGGTGGTAAATGTATGGTAGCAAAAATGTGTAAGCATAGAAGTTTAGTACAACGATTGATTTTGCTGTACTGTATTGTCTTCAATCTTACCAACCACTGTCGACTGGCAATCATGTTGTTGCTTGGTGGTCATGCATCCAAGCACTATACTCAACTCTGCTTAGCTTCCAACATCGAAACGAGATCGTTAACATGGGTGATTTGGTCAGAGGCAATGTTTATGTATTGTAATGTTTATCCGTCAATCAATTTAATAATGAATGCTTCTCCATACCAGTATTGTTTGACCATGGCTAACCACGCTGGTCAGTGCAGGTTTGTAAAGGGGGGTGCCCAAGATGGTTTTAGATATTACTTGCCACTGAAGACAGCAGTATGCAGGAATGAAACCCAGGGTTCATAACACAGGGTGCTAACCACTGCGCCACCAGTACACCGCTATATCCATATATACTATACCCTAGGATAAAAAAAACCACACCTTAATGAGATACACAGATATGCTGCTGAGGCATTGCTTTATTGATTTATATGGCAAGAATGAAATATGTTTTATAATATTGTATTTTTTTTAATGTTTCCTGCACAGGAATTAGGCGGAATGACGTTCACGCTGGCTACCATTACACTGGAAGAAGAACATAACTGTTTGTTAAAACCATTAAAATATATATCGTTTTTTCATATGTTTTGCTATTTGTGTTTAATAAAGTGAATATTTTATCACCACAAACTATCCCGATAAAAATAAGAGTTGTGATTCGGATGCTTCAAATGATCACACAAAGAGAAAATGTACACATAAAAATGTTTCTGCCATAATTGAATTGGCAATCGCATGTTCAGTGTCACGTTACATACGCAGCGATGTTAACAATGAACAGTGTCGTACTGATGACGAACATATATCTCAGTTATACATCAAGTTGTTTGCAAGCTAATTTTCACGATTAAAATAGAGTTCAACTTCTCATGCGACTCACGAAAAACCATGATTAACAATCATCATACATCGAATACATCAGTGCAATACTTAATGGCATAAATACATCACCTTTTAAATTGCTTTGCTTACTAATAGCCAGTAGCTTGAATAAAAATCAATCTTAATATTTCAATTTTCATAATGGCTTTTGTAAATATAGCAGCAGATATATAAATACATTCTTTGTTTATTCTGCCTGATAAATCATGTTCGACGTAAATGTTTCTTTTCTTCAATATTATCTTAATATTTAAAATATATACACAGTGCAATAGGCAAACAGTAGAAAAGGTACAAATATGTTAAATGAAAATGTTTGTGTTTGTGTATTTTGACATTACATTTTAATCATATATATTTTAATTATCTACTAATATCACTCTATTTAACCATAAATCAATGCATAAACTTTACATGAGATTCATTGAATGTGAAATGACTTGTAAAATATATTAAACACAGTAACGACATTGTGAAGAACACTGGCCCACACTTTCAGCTGTCTGATGGCAACTGTCCCATCTTGTCTAAAAACAACAACCTTGTGAGTGATCCTGAAGGCCATGATACACTCGGCCGACATGTTAGCAATCCTTCATGGCCATCGTCCCTTGGAAAACATAAGGGCAGCTATTACTTACTGATTAGGCAATCGCACAGTAACAGAGTTCTGTCTAGCCAAACAATACGGTTTCGTGGGAACTGTGTTTGCTGACTGCACCTTTGAGTGACCATGTGAATGTCTATCCCAGTTGTCCACTGAGGGCAGCAAATTTGGCAACTTAATATTTTCACCAAATAAAATTGTGTGGTAACCATTGCTGGGGCCGATTTTTGGCAACAATTACCTAAGAATGTCTCCAATAAAAACTACCAAACGTCCTTGTTTGGCCAAGACGGTCCCGGCTTAAGAAATACTTTTCTAGTATCCCAAAGCTTTTGCCAAAATCTCGATTTTTTTTCTTCTTCTCCCGCTCGAAATATTTCTGGTCGAATGCTCGACTTACGATACGGGGGCATAGGGTGGGGCTACATGAGCAGTGGGTGGGGTTGATAAGAGGTAGTAAATGGGGCCAATGTCAAAAGCACGAGGGAGGCCCTCTCACTGTGTGGGCGGGGTTCATGGCGATGGAGTAGGCGTGGATATGTAGACACGGGTGGAGCTGACCGAGCGAGGAGCCGCAAGCTCCCCGTGTTTCCGGCTGAGCCTTACAGAAATTTGGTAACGTTACCAAAGTTGTGTTAGCGCACTGGACTTAAACTACGGAGGTTGTCGGTTTGATCCCCCTGCCTCTGTCCAACCAAAAGTATAAATGGATCCCCCACATTTGATCGGCAGATTGTGTGTGGTTTGGGTATAGTGTGGGTAGATATGTACGTTAAGCGAAGGTGCGGGGGCTAATCGGAGGTGCGAGTACTCCCACCTCTTCCAAGACGTCTGGTCAGCATGGAAGAGTAGGCCAAATACCCTCTCGCGGGGCTTTCTAGACTTCCCTCTAGTGAAGCCCCTTCTGCCAGCAGCATCATGAGCAAGCCATTGCTGCGCTGCACCTCGACTCTTTTACCCCAGTGTATCATGGCCTGTGACGGCTCTAGAAGCGTTGCTTTGATCGCATGGACGCTGTTGGCTTCCGGCTCAGATTGATGCGCTTGACGTTGAGCTCGTTGGCCAGGGCTCGCGCCTGCTGGTACAGATGCAGTGAGCGCACCCGGTCCAACACCTGATTGTGGTAGACGGATGCCAGGCGCTCGTACAGCCTCAGCTGCAGCTGCTTGTTGCCCAGCTCCAGCGCTGCCAGCAGGGCCATGTTGTAATAGACAAGGGCATCTTCTGTGGTCTGGTGAGATAAGATAAAATGGGACAAAAAAAACAGCACTGTTTATTTATAAGAATAATATTTTAAAAAATTCAGTTGGTTCAGTGGTGGAATTTATTGTGGTCAAGCGTTTACAGTGGTAGGGCCACTCTCTAAATTGGATGCTGCACACAAATCGCTGTGTTCATTGCCAAAGAATGCCTCCTGCTCCAAGCTGCTTCCAATAAGCGTTAAGGGGCTCTGTGCAGTGAGCACCTGCAGACCGCTTTATAAGACATCATTTTTTTTATAGCAGAATATGGAATTTACACCATAAAAATGTTAAGTTTTTTTTAATCTAATGATGTAGATTTTCTTAAAGACATTACAAATGGACAAAAAATATATGCCTGGAAAAAGATAATGTTGAGAAGCAAAGTTGTTGCGATGTAACTTTCTTTTCTATGCTTATATTCATTAGCCAGGTAGTGACACTTTGCTTGATCGATTAAAATAAATTCTCATGCCCAGGACAAATGCGGAGAATTATATAAGATTCAATCTTATAGTAGATATGTCATTTATATGTGAGTAATAAGTGAGGGTTAAACTTAGGCTCATAGGGTAGATGTAACTTCATGAACAATAAAGACAAAAAAGACAAATGGATTGCAATACAAATGAGACGAAAAAATGTAATCGCTGAAGGTAATTTCAGAACAAAAGCTTGACGAGTCATCGAAACGCCGGCGAGATGAGCCTTAACATTCCCGAAGTTAATCTACTTTTTGTAAAGCAGCTCATTAATATTAAGTGGAAACAACTCTTAAACGAGCGGGAGAGAGGAGCTGTACAAAATACCACATAGCACCGTCGCGAACCCAAATTGGCGACATCATGCCGAACACAACCACTCAAAATATGACTGAAACAAAAAAGAAAAAACATGCATGTGCGTGAATTCCGTAACACCTATACTCTTTGGTTTATTTGGTAAAGTCACGTAGGTATAAAATAAAACCAAAGAGTATGGATTCCTGCAGTCACGAAAGCTTCAAATCCGTAACACTTTCCAACACATACTTGGACCTTACTTATATATTGCTGCTGCTCTGTTATCAAAGTTGGAAATAAATATATTTCGCTCTTGGCCACACAACGGGATGTCATATGGCACATGGCGTGAGTCATCGGACAAGGTGACCAAGGTGACATAGACCATAATGGTGTCAATGGGAGGGGAGGCATGTGTCCCTCGGCTGCCAGGGCAATTCCTTTAAACAGTTTTTTTGCAACAACCCTTTCATCAATTGGTTTTCTACAAAGTCTCTAATAGCAAAACAACTATTTCCTAACATTTAATTCGTATTGGATCATCTTCATCAGCGTTATCGTGTCTCCCACCCTCACATTGCGGAGAAGCAGATGGAGCTCCATGCTGGCCAGGTCTAAAATAAAAAAAATTCTTACAAAATAATCGCGGTCCCGGGAAGAGTGGTCTCGGGCAGAGGTCGCAATCGGGTACCCGATATCCGTACCCTACCCGATACCCGGCTACCCGTACCCGGCCGGGTACGGGTACCCATTTGTGACCCTGGTGCGGCCGGGTACGGGTACGGGTAAGGAATCAAAACCCATTTGCAACCTCTGGTCTCGGGTGACAAGACCGATTCCTCCTACCATGAGCTTGTCGGAGGCCAAGTCTCCGAGCCTTAGGCAGCCGTGCATGCAGTAGTAGAGCTCGTCGTGGGAGAGCCGGCACGAGGTGCACAGCGACAGCGCACGCAGAAAGTGATGCTCGGCCAGCTGGAAGCGCGCCTGTTGAACGCACGCCAAGCCCAGCCGATGGTACGTCACCTTCTCGCTCAGGCCGTCCCCTGCAAACGAGTTTAAAACTAAGTCAAAGAATTCCCACCCCCACCTCCTGCAAGTGCCGTTAACAAGCACCCCACCATCACCGGCACGGCGTTTGTGGGGTGGTGGTTGTGGTGGTGGTGATCAAAACCTCGTTCGGGCCAAGTATGTCTTCCCCAGTACTGCTATTTACACACCGCATCAGGTGCTATATTTAAGGCTGAGTCAGCCTAGGGGAAGCCTTTGACCGAAATATATGATCACCGCCGACGTTAGCCATGGCTGGGAATGGAATCCAGGGCGCCGGGGTTCTTGTGCAGTGTGCTGACCACTGTGCTACTGCAATGAGTTCACACGCGTACACGCGTCCCCACTGTTAGCCGTGCAACGTGTTGGATTCCTGTGACCTTGAGGCAGGCAGGCAGTTCTGGCGAGCACAGCCGGTTTCTTAAGTAACTTTTTAAAAGTCGGAAACTGTATCTCAGTATTTCACAATGGAGTGTTTTGCGGTACTTTTCTTGGACAATCTGTACGATATCGGGCTGTCTGCACAGCAGATGGTAGTGCAGCAAAATAAATTTTCGCACTGTAATGCTACGCTTCGGAGCCAATGCTCCTGCCCTTGCCAACCTGCCCTGACTAGCATGGTGAAGTATGGTACAATAACTGACTTAACCCTCACAGTCTGGGGAGGTTCCCATTCATCAGTGGGCATTTTTTGGAAATGTATTGTAAATGCTGTATCTACTTCATTGTGGTAATTACGCGCAGGCTAGTTTGTATGTTGATGGCCGCATTTGACTAAGAGAAGACTTAGAAGTCAGATTTCCCAGCAAATCTGGACAGTCCACATCTCACCGATCTATGGTTGTTCTGCCCCCTAGCGGAGTTAAGTAACAGTAGACACTGGTATCTGCTGATATTTGCACACGCTACCATGCTTATGTTAACATTACTGTGATACAGCATAGCCTCTGCATCAAAAGGTTAACCAAATAGTTTGATAATAACTGCACCAATAATTGGGTTAGTTTCCTCTTGATCTGGCGAAATTCCAGCTCTGTGACTTGAATGACAATAATGGTTTTGATCCAAGTAATACACTGCTAGCTGCATATTTCTAAACGATAGTCTCTTCACCTTTCTGAAGCGATGCCAGTAACACAATTGGAATGTCATTAGGCGGACAAAAAAAGCAGCTAAGAAAATGGGTTCATGAACGGTGAAAAAATATATGAAATAGAACGGTATGTACCAAGCTCCACGCTTAACTGCAGAGCGTCGGTGCTATGCATCATGACTTGATGAGGATTTCCCAGCTGGCAATGCAGCTCTGACAGCTTGTGGCAAAGCCTTAACTCTCTCCGCTTGTCTCCGAGGTGTCTGGCAAGTGGCAGAGCGTGGTCCTGTTCGACGGAAAGTGTATTACGACATTAAGTAGGGCTTTCATTGACAACAGCACTGAAATAAATGTAAAATTTCATGATAAATAGCATCGTCATGTCATTGCTTCGTGCTACAAGGTGTCAACAAAGGTGTCAGCTGTTAGAAAATTATTATAATTGGACAGCAGTTTGAGCTATGTCAAAAAACAAGTATGCACATATACACACATAATTGGTCGTGTGAACATTTTATCTTGTAAATTCAATCTCTATAAACACCTACATGTCCACCAGGGCAGTGGTGACACACATTGTATTGAAGAGCATCTCGGGCATTTGCTACACCTCAGGTGTGATTGTTTCGAACAATTCTGTTGTGTGTTATTGAAGACCACTTAAGATTACATATTTTGGGACAACACTGTTATATTTCCCGTAACCCTACGCACAGGAGTTGATGGCAAACACCTGGGATGCTTCCAAATCTTGATAGGATGTCCGTCGCTAACATCATGATGGATGTGGATTATTAGAAGGATGAATCTCATACAATAAAATCTTACTACCAAGTCGGTGTGTGTGTGTGGATCTATGGTTTTAATTACCAAGCTCAAAACCTACATTTTCGTTTGTTAGTAACGGATCGTACCTCTATTTGCCCTCTACAATGTTATAATCATGTACTCAGTACTCACCTCATAGAAACCAACGGCTTTTTCTGGTTCCCTGTTGCTGTTGAAGAACACATCTCCAGCAGCTTCGTAGACATGCAAGGCACACTCAACCTGTCCCAGGGTTAGGGCAACCTCCACTGCCATCTGATAAGTAACACAACAACCATGGCTTTATACTTTACTGGAACATAAATTGCATTGTGTCGTGTATTTTAAGCGGATGCTTGTTCCAACTGATGATGACTTCATAATGGGTTCATGATATTTAAAAGTACCTTTATAAAATGAGTAAGATATAGAATTTGGTCGAGGAGTACAGATGTACAATACCTATTAAGTAATGCTCATATCAGCCCATTTACTGTTGTACGGTACTAAATTATGTTTAATATTAACTCATAATGGGGCCTAATCTTTTAATTGTCATGGTGATTGTATGAATATCATGGCAGTTTTACAAATGGGCAAATTCACAGTCAAAATTTCAAAATCATTCATATGCAGTGCTATTTATATGGTATATATTTATAGAATCACTTTTCCCGAGTGGAAGGCAATGTCTGCATTTCTTCATTATCAACAACAGTGGGCAAATTATTTCTGTCTGAATTAGCAGCCTAATTGGTTGACATACTATACTCAAGTAAAAAAAAAGCCACAATAACGATCATACTATTGATTACCCACATCTTTATAGTGTCAGATATGTATTTATGAAATGTAGAACTGCCCAACTGCAAAATATAAGAACAGTAAAAAGAAAGAATTATTACGATGGAGCAGGAGGGCAAAGTTAAAACATGGCCTTGCAAGAAGAATTACTGTCATCATAGTTGCAGGAGAGGTGTTTCCTGACCTGTAGATGCAGGTCCACAATTTCATTCTGGCCAAGTTTGCTGTAGATGGTCCCTGCCAGCAGCCATGCCTCAGCTGTCCTTTCCATTTCGCGAAGGTCAATGAAAATGGCCAGGCTGCGTTTCACGTACTTCACAGCCTTTCTGTAATCCCTGACACGTGCATTACATCACGGTGTTTAAATGGAAAATTTATGCAGATTTACGCTGATTGTGAATGCTATATATGGTCAATTGTAAACACAATTTAGACCCAGTAAACTAATCTGATAAATTAAACAAGGAAGAAAAATCATGCATATGCATTATTTCTGTAATGTTTTTCAACATGTGCTTGTGCTCAGAAGTATTTCATTTTTGTTGAATTAATGCATATCACCTGCTGTAACACGGATCGTGAATGGACACTAATGGGTAAAATGGAACAAAACTGAAAAGTGCACTAGGATGAATGGAGAGATGCACACTGGAATTATATTTAGACGTAAATAGGAATACACGTAATGTATTGGGTAACACGCGCAGGATAAAGATATGTTATTGACTGCTGTAAGTGGCTTTGGGCAAAAAAAACATGTCCCAAGAAGGAATGATAGCTAATGATCAAGCCATTTATGAAATGACAGCACAGGGAGGAAACATGCCCAAGAGTACGTCCACCATTTATGTGGAGTGATGAGAACTGCGTGAGTGCAAGAGTGAGATGGATTGTTGCATTACGAGGCGATGAGAGATAGCAGTGGCTTGGGAAGGCCTTCGTTTAGCAGTGGATTGAGCTTGGCTAATGATGATGAATAACGTTAGGCTGTTGAGCCAGATCGTGAGATGGTGTCACATGGCATCAGGATGGAGGCACATGATGTGTGGTATCATTGCCATGGGGAAAAAAAGGCGTTTCTACTTAGCGATAGTCTTTCATTGCCAAGTTTTTTTGGAAACATTTAGATCGGTATATGTCCCTAGTCAAAACAAAAATGTATTTTTCAAAATGTCATATTGGATCATCTTTATGAAAGTGAGTCCCCCAACGACAGAGATAACGCATTAAGGCTTTCAACCTGAGTTGTAAATCATTAACAAGTATATTATCAAGTGAATGTAATGTATAAACGGTACATGAGTTATGGATTTTTCACACAAAAATAAATACCAACAGATTTTGGCCCTTTACATCTTACATGAAATGCCAGACTAGCCACCTTCAAAACATTTGCATAAATCAACAGTGTAAGCACTAAATTAGCATTATACTTCAGTCAAATATTTAGCCGTGTTAATTATTAACCGTTTGAATTCCTTCAAAAGAGTTGCAAATCATTGTAGGAACAGCAAAACCTATTTTAAACCACATGCTCTCATGTTATGGTCATCAACAGCTTGCTGTGCGTGTCATACCGTTCAGCAATATATTATAATAAAGCATACCAACCACGATAGTACATGTACAACAAGTACAACACCCGACAGTCAATCCACGACTGAGAGTCATTTGACCTTGCGAGTCGTGAGGATTATATGACCATATTTCACCACGTTGGTCAGGAAAGGGTTGGAGAAGATGGGGTGAATAGACGTGGGAGCATAGAAGTACACCACGACGTCGGATGCTCCTGTACTGCCCTCTGCTGCCCACCACATAGGTCTGTAGCCTATAACAACCTGTTTTGTGAACAACATTCTGCCATCCAGCCCTATGCAGGCTTAACCCTACTTAGCTTCTGAGATCAGATGCATTTTACGTAATTTGGTCATCGGCCAATAATGATGCTATATATTAAATAAATACAATTAATAGCATATAATACACATAATAGAAACAGTTTTGTGATATGGAAGCCCTCTTGAAATACTAGACACAGTGACACTATGGTGTTAAACACTACAAAGGTAACACAGAATGCAATACCTGAATTTTCCCAATCCGTGGTATATCTGACTCAGGATTTGGAGCGTGTCACCCTCCAGCCGCTTGTCACGAGAGCTGCGAGCCAAGTTGAGCTGATGTTCATAATAGATGATGCATTGCAGGTCATTCTTTTGGGATGAATACTGCTGGCAAAGGAGTGCAGTCACATGCATCTGACCTGTCATAAAAATAAAGAATAATTAACACTTGCAGCTTAAATTCATTGTAATCGGTAAAAGTGCAGCCCTGCATTTGCTTCTTCACGCCACTGTTGGCAGAATAGCCACCAGAGGGGTATGCTTCCCTACCAGAGGTCGCAACCGGGTACCCGATACCCGTACCCTACCCGATAACCGGCTACCCGTACCCGGCCGGGTACGGGTACCCGTTTGCGACCCCGGTGTGGCCGGGTACGGGTACGGGCAGACCGTGAGTCACTGGTGAGTAACCGTTTGTCACTCATTTCCCAACGTCTTGTCTCTTCTCACAATCCAAGTTCCTAGAATCAACCCACCCGCGCCTGCAACATGGCTTCATCCCAGAGGTCGCAATCAGGTACCCGATACCCGTACCCTACCCGTACCCGGCCGGGTATGGGTAGGGTACGGGTACGGCCGCGTACGGGTACGGGTACCCGTTTGCGACCCTGGTGTGGCTGGGTACGGGTACGGGTAAGGAATCAAAACCCGTTTGCGACCTCTGTTCCCTACTTTTCCACACAGGCCAGACATCGTGGAATAGATGGGAGTACCCACATTTAACCCCGCTACACACAACCTGCAGATCAACTAACTTCTGTGTACCAATCTGTACTGCTGGGTGGACAGCCATGTGGGGATTTCAACTGTTGCGACGTCTTGCCCCGTTACATATTAAATGATTGGCGACTATGCCGTTGCATGTGTGGCAAGTTCAATGTTTCTTTTAACAAACCTCTGACATCATTTTCTTTCAACGCGATGAGAAGTGCCATTTCGTAACACTGTAATCCCTCACTGGGACTTCCTCGAGTGTAGAAATTTTGTCCCAGTTTGACAAGAACTTCATTAAACCACTCTTCATGGTCACGGTTACTTGCTGCGAAGTATTTGTGTACAGCCTTTAAAAAGCAAACTTCAGCAAAGAGATGAGCCTTGGCGTTGACTGCAAGGAACCCCAAGTTTCCATAGCAGATGGCCACATTTATTTCGTCACCACAACTCTGAGCCACCGCTAAGGCACTTTGGAAATGTGTTGCAGCCTTAGGTATGTTGTGATGTCTTGCATGCACTATGCCCAGGAGATTGTGTACGACGCCAGCGGATTGGCAGCCAAGTTCTGGATTTTCGAGGATTTGTGTAGCAACGGAGAGACAGTCAACCCTGATGTACATCCAGGCGAGTTTGAGGAAGAACGCCGCTGCTGCCTTCTCCTGCTGAAGAGACCGCTCTGACCGCATTGACTTTGTTGAGGTGACACATGGCGTCGTTAACTTTGTGCTGTTGCAGGTAGAGTTCAGCGAGACTGAGATGGGCGTAATTGTGAACAGAATTGTGAAGACATTTGTGTTCTTCCTCAAGGGGCTTTTGCAGAGCCTTGTAAAGGAACGGCGCGCACAGCGGTGACATTGTGGTGCGACGCGACTGTCTGTTCTGTATCGTTCCCTCGCTTTTCACAATCAGTTCCACACATCTGATGCACTCAGTGATTGTCATCTGGTCACAGTCGCAGGCACGCATCATGCTGCCAAAAGATAGCCTCTGGAAGCTTGTGGCGTACAAACGGTTGAGGAGAAAGTAATACGATGAGGTGTATGTATTGCTCAACTGCTGGAAATGATTTGTAAGATCTTGAAGTCGTTCTATGTAAGGCAGTGCCTCGTCAGCTCTATTCAGGTTGAGCAAAGATTCGGCGATGAGAAAACAGATCCTTCCTTCCAAGCGCAAGTCATTCTGAAAGATCACTTTGCTGAGAAGGTGTTTGAGGATGTCCTGCGCTGAAGATGACCCAATGCATTTTCCTGGGAGGCTTACCAGGAGAATTGCCGTCTTTTCCATCATCGCTGTCGCCTTTTCTTTGTTCATCACTTTGAGGTACATTGAGGTCAGGTTTGTGTAGAGTGCAGCCATGAGACACATATCCGGGAAATCTCCATCTGTCATGCTAAGTGACTCCTCGTAGTAGACGCGGGCTTGGGAGAACTTTCCTTGCCTGGAGCAAGCTCGGCCCAAGAGGAAGCAGGCTCGGCTCTGAGCCCACTGCATGCCTCCCTTCTTGGCCATCTCACGGGCAAGCTCAAGAAAGCGCACCAACTCCATGTCATCGGTGTGACCTCTCAACAGTGAGTAAAGGAAAGGGATGTCTTCCCTGTAGAGCACTGCAAACTCTCTCCTGTACTCGGGCGTATTTAGAAACAGGAGGAATTGGATTAGGCTCTCACTGTTTGTCGACCAATTTTCGTTGTCTGAATCGTCACCGCATTTTGTAAGTTCCACTGAGAACCAAAGTTGAGACTCCTCTGCCACACTTGCATCTTTGAATTTCTCGTGGGGAAAAGTATTCTCCAAAACGTGGTCATTGAGACCAAGTTTGAAGATTGTTTCGAATTCAAATGATTCCTTTGTATCTTGACTGCAAGATCTCATGCTTTTGACAACAGGATCTATGGTAGACACAGAACAGGGTTAATCGGATAATTGAACCGAATAATACATTGAAACAAGATTACTTGTAAATATTTATGTGAAAACAAAATGCAGAAGTGTATGGCACCTGCAATACAAATTCATGAATTAATGTTCAATCATATTTACCAACCTGGTTTGTTGAGGTCTGTTCCTACATCAGAATGAGATTCTTGATCTGAAATGAATAAATCGAATTTACCACTTTATTTTATAACGGCCATTATATTGATGTACATCCTGTGTATATTTTTCATTAGGTAAGCACGACATGATAACGTTAACACTAACCACTTCAACCTTTTGTAATCTTACCGCAAAGAATACTACAACATTACGCATGTGATTTAAACATTTTATTACAAGCTTTGCTTGTATTATTATTACTACTGGAGCCCTACTTGTTATCAGCACAGCAGCACCTTGTAGACAGCATAAATACTCAAGTGTTTTTGCATGTGCGGTGATGAGAGAAGGGCATTCCTACATATCCTGTAGACTGTGCTGATGTCAGTTCCGGTCAACCGTGACAGGAATTCGTAACAATGCTGCGCTGTGCAATCATCCAGGCCACTGCGATGAAACCTCTCCGATCTGTGAAGAAAGGCACCTTTCCTGCAAAAAACAAATTAACGTTTCGTACGTAATCTTAATTTCACAACGACACATAATCACTCAACAGCATTAGTGTACAGCAAATGCAGCTTGTAGCTACTGATTACAAAGGAAATGTAATGACAATTCGTACAGTACTGACGTGTCTGTGATTTGGTCGGGCCGTACACAGCTCATCCGAACAAAGCCCACTCGCTCTGTAGAAGTGACCTTTCCCATGAACCAATGCAAGCCCGGGATGAACAGGCCCTCCACCTCAATGTGGTCGCCCTGCTTAAAGCTCAGCTCATCTCCACACTCCGCCTTGTAGTCTGTGGTTGCCACACATGACCCCGTCCCTGCAACAGAGCGATTGAGTGAAAGGGGACAGGGACACATGGGGAGAAAGAGTGTATGGAGAGTTTTAAAGATTTTAGTTTTGCAATAATTTAGAAATGGGAACGAGAATTTTAAATAAGGCAGGGCTGGGAGAGAACTTACCCATTTTGCCATTTTCTGACAATGATGGCTTGTGCTTGAGACAGTCTGAGATTGAATTACTTTTCAAGAACCACCTAAAACAAGAAAACAGGGAGGGATAAAACACGTACATAGGCGCATGTAATCGTGGTATGAACTTTAAATCATTGCAGCGATAATTAGATTTTGGAAATGTATTTTATGCCCATTCTTAGCTAAAGATTAACGTTAATTTGAATTACAAAAACAATTGAAGGGGCTGTTCTTGGCACGTACAGCTTACTGGCCCGCCAACGCACACTCACTGGTGAAAGTGCTGCAGTGGCTCCACCGCCGACCTCGGGATGAGGCCCTGCTTGGTGGAGGAGACGGCTCGCCCCGTCCACCACGCCCCCGTGCCCTGCGCTCGCTCCACCAGGAGCACCTCTCCCTCCGCCAATGCCAACTCCTCCCCCGACGCATTCGCGGACGACTTCCAAGCACGCACGTGAAACCTACCTGGGGAGGGGCGGGGGGAAAGAACAACGCGGGGGGGTCTAGCGTCGCTGCCGCAGCAGCCAGACGAAACTCTCCCCAGATGGGTCAAGAACGATCGTTCCAACAAGCAACGGTCAAAGAAAAGCAGAACTTACCCACCAGTTTGTTGACTTATGTTAAGCTGCGTGTTATTAAAGTGAACGTCGTTTACCTGGTGTAATATATAACGTAAAGAATATCAGCTCACTGCACCATTCGAAAGCACTAGTCCTTACTAGGGCGATTTTCAAAACTAATTTAAAAATCAAAGATTGCAGGTATAAAACACTGCATTCTGTAGCAATCCATGCTTGGAATCACATTGCCAGAGAGAAGATATACATGGATTAGAGAATAACCTGAGGTTAAAGGCATAAATATACCCTATTGGCTGTCAAGTAATGTTAAGTGGCTTTGGGCATTACACGTCACTCAGTAGGGATGATGGCCTGTGCTTGAGAATAACAAAGGGAGGGAGCGAGGTGGAGGGCCAGCCTGGGGAGGAAACGTGGCCAAGAGGTTATACACCAAGGAGATGGAGCGATGAAGTGACTCCCGTGTAGGTGTGAGATTGATTATGATATGGAAATGGCTTGGGGCAGGCCTTTATTGATCGTGGCTACTGCTGATGATGGTTATTTTGAATGTTACCTTCCTGAAGCAGAAGGCTGAGGTGCATCTTCCTCATGCTCTCATCGTTCATGTCAATTTGTACCGTCACTTGGTCTTCAGAGGGATCCATAAGCCAGACAGCGTCGCTCAACAGAGCAATTTTCAGGCACTCACTCACGAGCCCTGCAGATGACAATAAGCATTTAAAAGGAGAATAATGCCCCATACAAAGTGTGCTATCTAAAACAAATGGGCAATGATTACACATTTGGAAATAAATTGGCACAAAAAAACAAATGAATATGCGTGGAATTTCTTGCCCAGGGAGTAGTAATTTGTGAATTTCCCGAGTTCCTCTGCTGTGTTGAACGTGATGGCTATAGAGTCTGAGTCGCTGTGGATGGAGAGGAGACGCACTGACAGCTCCTGCAAAATCAAAAGTCCACACTGCAATGTTAACGACCTTCTTATCATTTCGCCATTCTTTCTCACAACAATAATAATGGACACCACTTTGTTAATACTCGACTGGGTGAAGTCCTCCCCACACTGTGTTGGACATGTGAGTTATATAACCATACACTTCACCATGCTGATCAGTGTGGGTTGGTGATAGGGGTAGGGGTGGTAAGGACTATCACTCACTAACTACTACACCATGGCTTCACCACAATTATTTCTTATTAAATATCTTAACTGGTCCTGGACCCCTACTTGAGCAACCCGAGCTGACCAGCATGGTGAAGTATGGTCAAACAAACCCCACCATGACCAAACAAAATATTGGGAAGCCTTCAAGCATGCCGCATTGAATCGACAAAAGGGCTATACATCATAATTATTTACTTGCAAAACACATACAACATTTGACACAGTGCCTATTGTAGATGTTAATGTAAGGTAACGCTTACTCGCTAGTTTAATCCTCACAAAACTTTAACTATAGTGGACATTATTTTGAATTGTACACATGACCAACATTGTTGAGGGTATTACAAGATATTTACCTTAAATTTCACTGCAGCCAAGGCTATGCATGTAGGGCCATACAGTCACAGGATTAGGTGTGGAGTGAAATGAATAGGCCGTTGTCATTAGTTGTGCTCACAAAACTGCAGTGTCATTAGAAACTGAGCAAACAACTGGCTGTTGCTCTGGGCGCATGGCACTGATCCAGCAGAAGTATGGCACAGAAATTGACATGAAATCTCATCCCAAGGTATTGAATTATTCCCCCTTGCACGATGAGCAATTTTACTGTTTCATTTATGAACAAAATATTCACTCCGGTATTTTTGGTGGCCCTTGTACGCTTTTTGGATATACTTCTGGAAGTGTAAACAATGCTCCACAAAATGAAACAGCCATAATCATACTACATGCTTATTATTGAAGAATAATATAATCAGCACGACTAAACACGTTTTTTTTTATAAATGTATGCAAAACATTTCAGAATAATTATTTTCAGCCCTTAGTCAAACCACCGCTGGATAAAGGCATCCCCATGCAATGTCGGCCATCAGGGTTTGTTTGACCATACTTCACCACAACGGTCAGTGCGAGTTGGTGAAGAGAAGAACGGGCCCAGCACTGGTTCAGATAGCACTCGCCATTGCAACGTCAGCCATGGCTAGGAATCAAACTCAAGGTCACAAGCAGTGCACTACCTCAATCATCCCTCCCCCCACCACCCCCATGGGAATAAAACCCCCATACAACAGCACATGTACTACACAAGTGATTAGTTAAGGTAGAGATACACGAAATTGCCCCTCGTGACAATGCAAGCTCACGTGGAAGAGTGCCGTCAGCTCAGCGGGCTCACTCTCCATCAAACGCAGATTGTCCCGCAGCCTCTCTTGGCACGCCTCGTGCAGCTCTCCGGAGTCTTTCCATGTCGCCGTCAGTCTCAACATCAGCTCTGTGTGAACGCACAGCGACATGCAACACAAAGGTCCCTCTGCAACCACGCAGACTGTTGGGCCAAGCGCTGTTAGCGAGCATTTGAGGCTTAGTCTACCTCGGGGAAGCCTTGCACAGGCTCAGTTATTCGTCGCTGATGTTGGCAGTGAGCTGAAATTTAACTCGCAGCGCAGTGCGCTAACTATTACACTCCTGCTCGCCAAACAGCAACACACACACACAGACATACACACCAAGGCAATGCACTTAAGGAGATTCATCAGAGTTGCAGCTGCCAACCTCCGCCTTCTCTGCGTACATTATGCGCAAAGCACCCCGAGGTCTTGTTTTTGCTATTTGTAATGCAATAATAGCTCCGGGGTGGATTTCTTCATTAGCTTCCTATCCCTACCATACCCTCAATAATCTACATGGCAATTACTGCACTCCCTTCCCACCATGTTTAATATTTTTCGCAAATTTAGAAATACATTGGTTTATATCTACAATCCCCATGTCACAAATACTAGAACAAAGGAAATATTTGCTGTAATTAAGCAGAGCCACGTAGAAGATTAAGCAATGCTCGAGGCCTGGGAGTCCTCCCATTAACCCGGTAATGTAACGCTGAGCAGATTGATCAGACATTACACACTTGAGCTGATTCTACGCTTCGAGGCATGCACAGGAGATAATTATCTGTGTTGGTATATATATATATATGAACACAATATGCTGCCTATGCATTACTGCTCTGTGATTAAATCAGCCGAAATGCACCGATCCCTTCAGATAACAGCTAATCAGGTTGGAGCCTGGCTACACTGTGAGCATCAGAAAGAAGTACAGAAAAATCCATTGTACAGAATGTTATACCCTCAACGTCTACGCCCCCCCACCACCACCTTCACCAACCTACATTGAGCCTGGTGAGGTTAAGGTCAGATAAACCCCAGGATCAACATGGTGTGTGTGGGGAGACCCTCATCCAGCAGTGGTAAAAAAAACCGATCTGTGTATGTCCATGTATCACTGGCCTTAAGAGTTTTGCATTGTATTTAAATTATTTATGGTCAGCCAATGAATTGAATGATTGATGGATTTTTTTTACACTTGTAATACATTATTTATAAGTATCGATTACTATACCTGTATGAGACACTCTCTTAACCATATGCAATGAATCCACTTGAGTTGAATCCACCTTTTGATATGTCTGTTGCTTTTTGAACGCCACTCCTACCACAATAAAAGTCACAGTTATATTACTTAACTTATAATTGTATTGTGCAAATATACAGTATGAATGACTACTTACAAAATTAGCTTTTTGAGTCTCGTGTGAGCATCTTAAGATATACTGTACTGTATATATAGAACTTATCTTATCCGCAACCGTGTTACCCGCGACTCCTATTATCAGCAGGAGCTGTAGGGCAGGGTCATATTATCCAGCAGGCACTGTGCCGAGGGCCTATGAAAACTAAAAATGTGTTTTTTGTTTACATTATACATTTTTTAATCCTTTATATTAAGTTCACTTGCTTGCTTGCTTGCGTGCTTGCGTGCTTGCTTGCTTGCATACGACCATGCAAATCTTTCGGTCGTTTTTTAACCCACTTCCCGTGATCCAATCGAGCTGACATTTTGCACACAGACTCGTTGTGCGTGACAATTAATTTTCGTGAATTTTTTTTTCCAAAATTTTACACTGTTTAGGGAAAATATATATATATTTAATTACCAATTGCTTAATGGTGGCAGACAATCATCTGACCCATAGGTGGCAGCCATCTCAAGCCAGAGGAAGAGAGGACTCTAGCTGCCCCGATGCCACGCATATTAAGGATTTATAGTGAAAAACTTTGTTTTTACGGGTTAATTTTTTTCCAAGATATCTTCTTGAATAAGTATATTTATATAGCATGGATAGGCAGTGGACATACAAAGAGGCAGAGTCGCTTATATTTTTAAACCTACCTTTTTTCCCCCAACAATTTCAAATTAAATCTGCTTATCTGCGGCACACAGCGCGCTCCCATCGAATTAGGGCACTGACTAAATAATGAACGTATCAGTAGTAACGACATATATCCAGTGGCTGGATGAAGTACACGTGAAACAAGCGAGTGACAGCGGTGGTAGTAAGATGGGCAGTACTAACTCTGAAGAGTTATGACTGAAGGCTTACGAAACAGAAGTGCATAGGGCCTACAAGAACCTTAATCCGGCCCTGCTGTAGGGTCCACAAAAGCTCCTATTATCTAATATTTCCTTCCTAATATCGACATTCTTTCCTGTGCACAAGTTGAGTCAATTTGTGGAAAGCCCAGCAGATAATATAATCCGCAAAATTCGTCCCCCACATCACCATGGATGAGAGTTCTGTATATGTGTACTGTATATAAATATACATGTCCGTTTTATAGGATTGCTCAGACTTACTTTCTCACCTGTTGATGCTGTCTTTGAATGCGCATCCTCACCATTGAGCTCGGTCTCATTTGCAATTTCTTGGCTATTGGAAAATTCTAAACAGGTTAACTCATTCCCAGATTCGTCTGATTCGTAGTTTCCTGCGATCAGTTTATGTAATGCTTTCAACGTGTAGTTCTTACATCGACAAGAGGCAAAATCATCTGGCGACGAAATTGAGAGTTCATTCTTCTTCGCATGCGAATGCTCAGCTCGAGATGAATGTTTTCTCTTACTTTCCATAGGTCTGGTGCTTGGAGATTGTGTCCGTTTTCTGCGTGGTGGCAAATTAACTTTTGAATCTCTAGAATATTCTGTCCCTTCAGGCGATTCATCTGAGTGCCTGTCAGAAATCACTGTTTTAAAAATGGGACCATCATCCTGAATTCCTGGTCTATCCAAACATTCTGAGTCTGTGATACTAAGTGATTTATTGTCATCATCCAAATGATGTGACGTATTGTCAAATGAATATCCTTCATTGGGGGTAATTAACGGAAATTCTTTTTTCATTTCCAGATCAAGTGTCTGATCAATCGTGTTAATGAACTCGCCACTACCCTTACACAGTCCATGTGGGTGATCAACTGGATATAAACCTGGCGGTGTGTATGATCTACTTGGCGACCCTTGAGTGTCAATCTGATTCTCTGTTTGTTGTTTACGGATAGCCTTATTCAAGTTCGTGTTGTTGCTATCTAAATCAGAACATGAAGAGCTCTCACTTATGTGAGTTGATGCAGAAATTATTTTTTCAAAATGCCTTGTACACATCGACTTATCTAAGAGGCACGTATGATCATTGAGGTTATGCAGCTGCTCATTATTTTGACTGTTATAAGATTCAGAATATGCAAAGTCATCATCTGAATGTAGCAGCTTATGATTTAATTTTTTTACATCATGTCTTAAGTTGCTGTGCAATGATGTGTGACCACACTTGGCGTGCAAGTGTTCATGACCGCCATCTAAAACAATACCTGGAAACCTATCATTTTTAAGTAATAACATAGAGTTTGGGTTTGGAAAGTCAAACGCTTTGGCAACGTTGTCCAAAGGGGCTTTATAATGAACATTGCTACTCAACCCTCCATTACTGTCATCTAAATCAGAGTCTGCACAGCTCCCATGTAAAGGAAATAACCCAGAAATGTCTTTACGGTAACTGAGTGTGCATTGCTGGCTTTGTAAAACAACTGGATCATCGCCCTTGTTACTCGACTGTGTATTACTCTCATCTAAATCAGAGACTGAGCATCTCTCTTCAGGAGGGCTTAACTCGGAGTGTGAACTCGGGCAGTTGGGTGTGTAGGTTTGGCTCTTTGAAGCAACTGATTGATCACCATTATTACCTAATCTTACATTACTGTTATCCACATCAGTGTTTGGAGAGTTCTCACTCTTTGGCAGTGACATTGGGCAGCTCTGTATGCACGTTTGCTTTTCAGCGGAGAGATCACCGGCATATGTCAACTGTTCATTTCTGTCATTTAAATACAGTTTCGGAGAATAATCGTTGGAATATGAAGCCTTAAAATGAATGGTTTTACTTTCATATGTGTGGTTTCGTTTCTTCTGAACACGACCAAGATCAAATATGCTTTCAAAATGTTGACCGCCGTCATCTAAATCAGATTCCTGCAAGCCGTCGCGTGACGGTAATGCGTCAACCTTTGACGTTGGCAAGTCGTTTGTGATGACTCGGTGCTCCATCACTGGCCTGTGGTCAACCGAAGCACTGAGAGGATGATCGGTCTTTTTTCGTGAAAAGTTGTCTCTTAACAAAAGGCCTTCATCCTCATTTATTAATGGCGATGCCACACTATTTTCCATCTCTGCGGTCGTTCGGATGCTAGGGGTATGACCTGTCATCATCTCCGTGTGCTCATCAAGAGACGATGCATAAAATGTTTTTGGCAAGAATGAGGCATCTTTCCGATTAAGTTGTTTATCGAAATTGCTGTAAACGTCTGTGTCTCTGCCACGGTCTCTAATCATTAAACTTGCACTGTTTTCCATTGAGGTATGTGCAATACGTTTTGATTGTAAAAATGCACTCCTGTTGTTTTCATAAGCTTCGTGTGTCTGTGCACATTCAATATCGGATTGTTCATCATCAGCTTCTCTTTGCAAAGTCGTATTCAGTTGTATCTGTTGTAGTCCGCTCTGGCCAGCGTTTCCACTTTTATCCTTGTGTGGAGGACTCTTGTAAATGCTGTATGAATCAGTTTTGATTTGTGGCAACGAAGACAAACTGGCATCACTTTGTTGGCTGAGCTTCACGTCCATCGATGGATTTAAATATTTGTTCTCCAATTTTGAACCTCGTTCATATTTCAGACCACTATACGTATCAGCCTTTGTGGCCTGCGTCGCTCGTGCATATTCCACGTCTTTTGACACAAGGGCACTTGCGCGGAAGTCAAATTGTTTTCCCCCTGCACCTTCATCTGCCTTGTCTTTCACGGGCGCAAACTTTTCAGGTGACAACTTCCCAGGAAGACGCAGTTGACCCAAACGGGAGGCTTTGCGGCCTGTTCCATAGAACGATTGGTTTTCTTTGTCAGGTGGTAAATCCATCTTTTACTTGTGCTGGATTTGCGTGTGCTAACTTGCACGCTTCTTATATTTAAGACTGCTTTCACGCGTTGATTAATTTCAGATAATCCCAAATATAAACAAAGGAATGAGTAATTACATTGTGAAAACTCCCAGAACCAAAAAATGAATCTTCTTTGCCAACACTTTACTGTTGCACTTCTTTATAACCTGAAGTAAAATGCGCAAACTGATTGTACAACATTGACAATGAGGCCTGAAACACATTCTGCAGTTATCACTGACGCACTGTAAATACTAATGTAGAGCAGTACACCATTCTTACATAGTCAAAATTATGATGACATATTTTTAGTTATTAAATTGGTACAGCGATTATACGAAAATATAAAAGTCTGCTTTACTTTCAAAATTTGGCTTTAAAAAAATCACTGCTACATTATCAACAAAGCTAAAATGTGTTGTTTCGTACAGTTTATGACAGTATAGGAATCTGTATATTTTCCAAATAAAGAAATAATACCTCATTTATTAAATTTTCACCACCAAGTGTAGAAAATATAAAACAATATAATTAAATAAAACTTTACTTGAGATTGTATTTAAAACCCAGTAAACTTGATGTGTTCATCCTTCAGGAAATACAATTTGAACAGTATATTATAGCTAGTGTTATGGATTAGTCTTGATTAAGATCAATCTGCCATGCTTTTCTTTTTACAGAGGTAATGGAAACAATAAATATTGTACTTATATTATCTCTTGAAGCCCCTTTCATTGCTAGCAAACCTCGGCATTAACATTCAGCTACTGAGCATAGTCATACACAATAATGTCATTAAAACAGTGTACCTACCTCTTTAACATGTATGCACTTTTTTCAAAGTAGATAAAACAAGGTACACTTGCAGCCCATGTACCAAAAGTTTTCAAACAATCCCACACGTCTGGCTTGTGTCATGCTCACTTCTTCGACTGAACAATTTGTGCCGCACTGCCCGACAAACAGACCTCTAAAGTACAACTCCTTCGTCACTGAGTAACTGAGCCCATATCTTGGCGTAAATTCATCCACACAATAGCTCAACGGTGAGCACGTGCCTGGTTAGTGTAAAACAGAGTTTATGAAAACACATCTTTACCCCTTGAGGCTATAGCAAGGGCCACACATTGCAATCGACCTTCTTCAGAATGACAAGATGAATACGAAAAACATTATTTGTTTGTCATCTAGGCTTAGCAATGGCATAGCACTGGAGAAAAAAATGTGACTTTATTTAAATCTCATTTTAAAACTACTCGGGAAAGAAGCACATCTTTTTCTCGCTGTGGTATGCATTCCACTAATAATACTCTACCTTCGCAGGGGTTCAATGAGCAAGAGTTGTCATGGAAATCTGGAGTAAGCCCTATCGCTGCGCCTCACAAGAGCAATGTTGTGAATGTTTAGCGCCGAAGTGTTTGGCTTAAGTTACATTGTTTTTATCCACTTAAAAATGAAAACACAACTCCCATTACAGCTAGAAATGAAGAGCCACCACATAGGCTGCTATACAATGTGATCCATCTTACTTACATACAGCAATTATAGATAAAATACATCCCTTTGTCAAAAACAATGAAAACACAACTCCCATTACAGCTCGAATAAAAGAGCCACATATGCTGCTATACGATATGACCATCTTACTTACATGAAGCAATACTAATACACAAAATACAGCCCTTTGTTAATCCACTGCTGTGGCCTTGCTACACACCATGTCAGTCATATTTTACTGTGATGGTCAGTGCGGGTTGGGTCACCAGGTTCCTAGGGCAGTGTGCTAAGCCCCCTTTTTTAATTCCACCGCTTTCTATCACTATTGAGTTTATTTCTTGAACGTGTAACATCGCAATACAATGCAACTGTGGTCACGGTGATACTAGTACAGGTTCAGCTCTGGAGTGGCTGCTCAGGCCACTGCAATTAGAATGGGCTTCAACTCGAGGGGACTCGAGGGTATTTTAACCTAACATTCCACGCTGGCCAGAGGTATTGGAAGTGGTGGGAATTCCCACGATTAAACCGGCCACAAGCGGCCTGCCGATGAACTGTGGTGTAACAATTCATACCGGTAGATGCACAGAGGCAGGGGAATTTAAGGAACCTGCTCTTTGTTTTTAACTGCTACGCCAAGAGACGATGAAACCAGTGACCTCTGGGTTGCAAGTTCAGTGTGCTGACCATTCCAGCACGGCAGCATTCTGCAATTGTAGTGTTACGGATTAATCTTGCTTAAAATCAGTCGGCCATGTTCCACTATTTATAGAACAGGAAATGAGGTAACGACAACGGCAAATTGTACTAATATTCCACTGGCGTGATGTAAATACGAGGTTCAATTTAGATGTTTTTTGTCCTGCTAGTTTTAAAAAGAACCATCAGTCATGGAGCGCCAACCCCATATTTTATATTAGAAATGCAATACTCATACGCTCATTATGATTGATAACTGGAAAATGTACACACACCCATTTATACTGTTGATTTTTTTGATGGCCCTTTTGTTCCGCATTGTTAGAGTCTGAATACAAATGCTTGCACGTCAGGTTAAGTGTCTCCCGGTGTATTAATATAATAACACCATGAACACGTTTCATTAGGACACGCATTTCAAAACCATAGTACCACCCACTGAGAATTGCTTTCATCAATCACCTTTGTGCTTGGTCTGCTCTCATGAAGGCATATTGACTCATAACCGGAAAATTCCTGTAAAGAGCAGAGTGCTGAAGTCAGCTACTGGGCTTCTCAGAAAGGAAGTTGCAGATGCCCAGTCAGTGTTCTAATCGCTAAGCAGGCATCCTGCCTTTTTAGTGACTGATTGATGGCATTGCCATTAGTACACTATGCAAACAACACTGCCTCGGACCCACTGATGACTTACTTTCTCAGCACTAACCACACCATGAAATACAGGACTGTACAAAACGATAGAATGTTAAGGGAATAAGGGGGGCTTGGGCAGGGGACATGGTGGCTAGAAGGAATGATGTAGGGAGCCTGGTGATGTAACTGCAGCCAAATGAGAGAATGCGCTCGAGAGGATGACCACAGAACAGATGGAGCGATGAGATCGGCTCATGTCCAGGAGTGAGACGGATTGTGGTCTCACAGACTGGGGGGGGGGGGGGGGGTGGAGTGAGGAGGCATCCATCCAGAAGTGGATAGACAATGGCTGAAAATAATGACGACTTCTTATTGTCACAAACTCTATGGTTACTATGTGCATACGGAAGCTTGTGTTGCCTCCGAAACGTCGTTATTTTTATTTTATTTTACTTTTTAATGTTTTTACCTACGTGACTTTACCGAAAAAACCTAAGAATATGAATCATTGCAGTCACGAAAGCTTCAAATCTAGAATATGTGCATACTGTCGTCCAGCGGGGACATATACGAATCTCTCACATTCACCGTACAGTATTTATGAACAAATGTGTCCATGTGATCCATTGAAGGTTTTCTGTTACATACATTCTTAACAACATAAGACCTGTCTGTATGCGTCATACATAGGAAGTGCTGCATAGCACACATGCGTACAGAAGGTATTTATTACCGGATTAGTGATGGAGCGTGCTCGAAACATCATGTTGAGTATCATAAACGAGCATTTACATGTCCCAAGTTACAATAAGTACTGCAAATATATACTGTATAAAAACTGAACTGCATAACAATCTTGGGTTAAGCAATACAGCATATGGAATGCCACGTCATGTTATTATTTAATTTCCCCATGATCTAAGATAGGAATGTTGTGGTTCTATCGTACCGAGTTTGTCATCCTTGTTTGTTCAAGTCACAAATGTTGGGTATTTTTAATTAACCTGGGGGTGGCCTGGTGGGTTCAGTGGTTAACGAATAATGGTATGGACCCGGGCACAATTAGATTCTTGGTCATGGCCAACACCAATGGCGTGCGATATCTAAATTGGTCATGCCTCCTCCCCATCTGTTGTTCACCAACACGCAATCACCGGCATGGTAACGTATGGTCATAAAACTATACTGACATGGCATGAGGAGGCTCTTAATAATACAATAAGCTCTTTGTGGATTTACAAAGAGCGTGTTTTTTTATTATTTACTGTAAAAAAACTGTCAATTCAATGTACGTCATTTCAGTAGAACTCAATCATTCACGTAATGCGGGAAAAATGACATCTGCTTTACACAACTTACTACAAACACCAAACTTAGTGTAAAGTTAACTTTTTGCAAGGTTGCTTAAGTACCGGTGCACATTACTCTAGACAGGCCTCTCCTGTAAGTTTGAAGACAACATACAGTATGTATATACTATGCTTGTAATATATAAAAAAAATATTTAAATATCCAAACATGACTAAGCAAGTACAGACACAGTATAAGTCTTAGTTTAAATGTATTTTCGTGAATATTGATTATGAAGTTCATAAGTAGTATGTATTCAGGTGATTCAATAGTACTGCAATGGCATAACCGCAATGTAAGGATACATGAGACATAGTGCTAAAATTGGCTTGTGTGTATCACACCAACATTGTGTAATAACATTTAGCCCAAATGATTATTGCCAAATATTGCAATTATCAGGTTCTGTCCCATGCTGTCATTCTTTTACCATGGAACCGTGGTCACGTGTGATTTAAATTAAATGCATTGAACATGCAAACCCTCTTTCTAAAGTGCATCTCACCGCAGAACGTGTAGCGCAAGGGAGCTCCTCCTGCCTGTGCTTCCACTGACGCCACAAGATCCTTCCCTCGCTTACACAAGCTATCAGCCCAACCCACAAACTCCGACAAACACCCACAGCCCAACCCATGACATTTGACAAACAATGATACCCTGCCCAACCCACGACCGACGTACAATTCCTGACTGTACATCCAGGTCAGCTCACGTTGCAGCCTCCCATTAAGCAATCTCCAACTGATACCACCAGTCACCTTGTATCTCCTCTGAACAATCTCACCCAATCAACAGCACCACCTCACCCAACAAGCCGCCAATCTTTCCGACATGCTTAACTCCTGCAAATATCTGCCGTACCCCATCATGAAACGCCCGATTCAAAATCCAACCCGCGGAATACCTACCTGCTCCAAACATCTTCAAGCCCACTCGATGCGACTTCCTCGATCCGAAGGACACCCATCTGCCCCCTTGCCAAACAACCCCCTGGTCCAATCCAACCACCACCTCCTCCAAACAACCTCAACCCAGCCCCACGTGCGAGTGCGATCCGCACGGTCACCTGGCTCCTCCCTACGGTCACCTGGGGCTCCACCTGTCGGCACGGAAGCGTCAACTTTTCACACAACCCAGCTCCACGTGCGAGTGCGATCCACACGGTCACCTGGCTCCTCCCTACGGTCACCTGGGGCTCCACCTGTCGGCACGGAAGCGTCAACTTTTCACACAACCCTGGCCCTTTGTCAACTCTACATGCGGTGGGCTGGCATTGCAATTCTGTATTTGATACGTGGCCGTTCAATTGACGTGCAACGCGCAGCAGCGTTCGCTGAGCACGAGGCCAGCGGTGCCACCTTTGGAGTCGGGTGACAAAAAATGGAAATGCGGTGCCCCTTTGAGGGCGGCAGGTGCGTCCCTGACACCCACACTCGAATGCCGAGGGGCCTGGGGAAACCGGTCACTTAAAGAGAGAATGTGGGAGGGCAGGGTGGAAAGTTCAGACTGACCACTTACGTTCGGTGCGCTAGAACAGATTATCAATGTACCCTTGCCCATAACTCAATGGGGGGTAATGGCAAGCTTGGGCTTTAATAGTAGGTTTTTACCCTTTTAAACTGGTACAAAACTGACACCTTTATTCAAGGCATCATGTTTGCAATAACCACAACACAAGTAGTAAAAAAAGCAAACAAAAAGAAGCAACTCTGATCATGATAATAATATGCACTGTCCTTGAAGTTGATTGGTCCACACCCGAGACGGCTTTCTTTAGAGCATAGTCCCCATTGGTGTTGGACCAGATGACACCAGAAGGCGTACAACTCAAACACAGTGCAATATCAGAGTATTGAAAACTCGGAGCAAGCATTTACACTATGAGATCTCTTTTACCAGTGGCAAAATATAATATTATTATCATGATCAGAGTTGCTTCTATTTGTTTGCTTTTTTGACTACTTGTGTTGTGGTTATTGCAAACATGATGCCTTGAATAAAGGTGTCAGTTGTGCACCAGTTTAAAAGGGTAAAACCCTACTATTATATTTTTCCACTGGTAAAAGAGATCTCATAGTTTAAAGCTTGGGCTTTGTTTAGACATCCGTACAGAGTGTGCTGCTAAAGGGAAAGGCACTGCCCTGTAATGCTTTGCTCACGCCACTGCTGGCAGAAGCGTCTCCACTCGTTAGTCTTTTTGCCTCCTCGTACATGCTCGTATTTCGAAACAAAATATGTTTTTTGTGTGAATAATGCAGTCGATATGTGTACACCACCTATGACCTAAGCAATTGTAGCTGTAATTTTAAGACGAGGATACAGACCATATGTAACATCCAACTCATCACGCCAACAACTGTGACCAATACACCCAGCCACTGTGAAGGTCCATTTTGGTGGATTTCAACTATTTCTGAGACCCATCATAAAGCTTATGACCCAACAGTTACCCGAATGGGTGTAACCCCGTAATACATGTACAGCAGACATAACGTACTAGCGCCATCTATTGATAGAAGTTATGTTTTGAATGAATGAGTTAGTTTTTTTGTATTTGCCATCAGCCATAACGAAAATTGTTGCATGCAAATGTTAGTGTTCTGATTTTTCTCGAGATCCAAAAAATCTCTCGCGATCCACCCGTGAATTGCAATCCACGTATTGGCCACCGCTGCACCAGGCAGGGTATGCCACAAAAAAAATCAAGCCAGAAATAACAGGAATGGTATTCAAGGAATGTTGATTGCTGTAAGCTTCAGCAAGAAGATATAAGAATAGGTTTTTCCCCTTTTTTCTGGCAACAAAACTGAAACCTTTTTACAAGGAATCATGTCTGCATTAACCACAATACTTGCCGTCACAATACAAACAAAACATACTCTGATAATATATGCATTGTCCTTGAAACTGATTGCTCCACACCAGGAACAAAAGGCGTCCTCTGGTCTAACACAGTTTGAGACGAGGCTTAAAAGAAAGCTGTCTCTGGTGTGGACCAATCAGTTTCAAGGAACAATGCATATATTATCAAAGTATGTTTTTTTTTCATTCTGACCACAAGTGTTATGGTTAATGCAGACATAATTTCTTGTAAAAATGTTGCAGTTTTGTTTGCGAGAAAAAAGGGGAAAACCCTATTCTTATATTTTGGTACTGGGAACGGAGGTGCCGTGATGAAGATACAAGATATTGACTAAATCGTCAAATATGTGTAATAACAATGCAGCACAAGTGTTCTTGTAAATACGTTTGAATGTATTTTGACATTCTCACAAGGAGATATCTGTCGTATCACAAGACATTTGAAACAGTAATTAAATGGCAGTGAACTACATACCACTATTTGACTGTAATTTACACATAATGGGCCCTCGTGCAAAGGAATGAAATGGGTGCTTCCCCTTTGTTACTCTCTCTCCATCCTTGTAGCCCGGCGCAGTTGCACCACCTGCACACTTAACACTTGCTATACGACAGCTCGACAGCTGTGGACACACAGAGCTTGGTTTGCGTTACATCTTTCGTATTGCATTCGAAAAGCATCGGTCGAGTTTATAATTGTGTGTTGAGCTTGGAAATCCATTCGATGGCATCTGGGCGATGGATTAAATTCGTACCACCTGGGCAATTGTCGGTGATGTGTGTGATGGATTGCACGCTTCAGTTAAGCAATTTCATAATTCCCCACTTACGTAGGAGCTTACCGCACCGTCTGTGCGTACGGGAGTTCTAACACGACGAAGTGCAATCCAGTTTTTTCCGAGATAAGGAGAAGCCAAGTCAAGTATCTTGCTGCGTCTTAGTGTGTTGCCATGTTGCGCTGAGAATGTGGTCGCGACGCTGCTGGGGTTGGTGGTGATGATGGTAGTGGTGCCGATCGTGGTGGTAATAATGGTGTTGCATGGTGATGATGATGGTCGTGATAATCGTGGTGGTGATGATCGTGCTGCTGCTGGTATTGATGATGAGGATGGTGGTGGTGTTGATGGTAGTGGTGATGATGTTCGTGGTGATGGTGATGATGATGCTGGTTGTGATGGTGATCTTGCTGATGTTAATGACGATGGTGGTGGTGTTGATTGCAGTGGTAGTGATGCCCGTGGTGGTGATGATGTTCGTGGTGATGGTGATGATGACGCTGGTTGTGATGGTGATCTTGCTGATGTTATGATGAGGGTGGTGGTGGTGTTGATTGCAGTGGTGTTGATGGTAGTGGTGATGCTGGTTGTGGTGATGGTGATGATGACGCTGGTTGTGGTGATCTTGCTGATGTTAATGATGAGGGTGGTGGTGGTGGTATTGATTGCGGTGGTGGTGATGATGGTCGTGGTGGTGATAATCTTCGTGGTGATGGTGATGATGACGCTGGTTTGTAATGGTGATCTTGCTGATGTTAATGATGAGGGTGGTGGTGGTGTTGATTGCGGTGGTGATGATGGTCGTGGTGGTGATGATGTTCGTGGTGATGGTGATGATGACGCTGGTTGTGGTGGTGATCTTGCTGATGTGAATGATGAGGGTGGTGGTGGTGATGATGGTCGTGGTGATGATGGTCGTGGTGGTGATGGTCGTGGTGATGATGGTCGTGGTGGTGATGTTGGTTTTGGTGATGGTGATGATGACGCTAGCTGTGGTGATCTTGCTGATGTTAATGATGAGGGTGGTGGTGGTGTTGATTGCAGTGGTGATGATGGTCGTCGTGATGATGGTCGTGGTGATGATGGTCGTGGTGATGATGACGCTGGGTGTGGTGGTGATCTTGCTGATGTTAATGACGATGGTGGTGGTGGTGGTGATGTTGATTGCAGTGGTGATGTTGATTGCAGTGGTGACGATGGTCGTGGTGGTGATGCTGGTTGTGGTGATGTTGATTGCAGTGGTGGCGATGGTCGTGGTGGTGATGCTGGTTGTGGTGATGCCCGTGCTGCTGGTGCTGACTGACGATGGCTGCTGGTGGCTCGTGATCGTGCCGGTGGCGTGCTTCTCTCGTCGTGTCCGCGAGAGGGCACTGCGTCTTCACCGACATCGCGCTGGGGGCGGGATCGAGCTCTCGGGGTTCGGCATTCCGGTCATGACGGCTGCTGTGCGACAAACGCAGCGCCAAGGACGGATTCGCAGGCTCCGACAGTCACAGGCTCGCAGCCCAGCCCAGCAAAAGCGAAGAAGAAGCGTTGCCCACCGCACGTGTTCCGGAAAGACACACAACGTCGCCTGACCATGAGCACCATCGGTGAGCATCTACTTCTATTTGGCGTTCGTGAGCTTACGTGGCTTTGTTTAAAAACGTGCGTGCGATGATGATGTGTGTGTGTGGTTTTAGTGGCACGAGTTTGGAGAATGGATGATGGTACTCTGAGCAATCTCTGCGCATTGCATATTCGCACACGCGCCAGTAATTGCCACCGGCTCTGCGTGTGATGACTTCCGACTGGTGTTTTCGCTTGTACCCGTGACACTTTGTTTTTCTGTGTGTGTATATTGTGTTCATCCAGCAGTGAGTGGCTTCTTCTAGCCTCCTTTTGGTACGGCAAAGATGGGAAAACACCCATACAATTTTGAATGTTAAGGGTTTTCAACCAATCCACCCAGTGGATTGACAATGGGTGATGATGATGATGGCGATTGTATCGTGAGCGTGTAGTGTATTGTTGATGTGGATTAAGTCTCTGAGAACGCGGTGATGTTAATGATTTAAAACAATTGACAAACAGAACGGCTCTTAACTGCGGTGATATGGGGGATAGATCAACACCGATCCTATTATCCGCGAATTTGCTCCATTTATCCGCAAACATAGACCACGGATAATGGAATGAATTTCATATTCAACTTATCGGCGAACACATTCACGAACGATATTCAGGATGAAAAAGCGGTAGTTAATTACGGATAATACGAAGAATATATCCGTGGATAATTGGAGTTTTCTCGAATCCTACAGTTCTCGTTGATAATTTTTTTGCGGCGAAGAGGGTCACGGATAAGAGGAGTTTCTCCTGTTAGTGCTGTGCGTTTGAAAA